ATATATATATTCTAATTACTATTAAAACTTATATATTAATACACTTTATTCTCATTAAGAGATATGTAGTGTATTCATTCCGATTACGGAAGATGATTCTCGTATCGTCATTTTTCGTCACTACCTCCCACGTTGCGCGCCTGCTGCTCTCCTTGGATGTGGTAGCCGNCGCGCCTGCTGCTTTCCTTGGATGTGGTAGCCGTTTCTTAGACTCCCTCTCCGGAATCGAACCCTTATTTCCCGTTACCCGTTACAACCATGATATTGATATTAACTACTATCATAACATGAAACTAAAAAGTGAAAAATAAATATAGTTTAAAAATCTAAAAAACACGCTTTTAAAGCACATCGAACTAAAAAGTTAAAAATAATTTTTAAAATTAACTTAAAACAATAATCAACGAAAAATACTAGTATTATTGTGAAAAAAAGCGTGGGTGCTTTATGCCATATTTTTTGTACATTGAGCGCCTGACGTTTTTTTCACAATAATACTAGTATTTTTCGTTCATTATTGTTTAAAGTTAATTTTAAAAATTATTTTTAACTTTTTAGTTCGATGTGCTTTAAAAGCGTGTTTTTTAGTTTTTTTTAACTATATTTTTTTTTTTACTGTCGTATAAACCAATTTTATAGACCAAGTTATGACAGGAAATTAGCAATAAAAATTTACGACGTACTAAATGAGTCATAACAATAATAAGTTCAAATTGAGTTTTTGCTGTATTATTAATATCTAAGTCTTTCAGTTTGTAACCTGTGTTTACTGACACAAATAGACAAGTACTACCGTTCCGATTACTCGTCTATTTGTAAAATAATTTTGTATTTTCCATGTTTTTTTGTTATTTATTGTAATCAACTACCCCCACCCCCTCTCTTCACTTGGCCTACTAAAGTCATAGTCGTTGTGTCCGGTACTACCGGCACCTAAGTAAATACGTACGTGCACGTGTTTATAGTGTTGTTATACCGTTGAGTCGGATGACTCCTGACCAATGAGCTGGCGTGTTTTTTAATACGCACATTTTGTGTACGATCGATGAGTCGTTCCGTGGAATTTTTACTGACTCGTGGCCAATGATAGAACGGTGGTTCATTTTTTTGGTGTTGTTCTCCGGTCCGGCGCCATTTCGAATCTTTCAACTGTCAATTGCTTAAAACAGTTATCTCATATAACATCTTTACAAGAACGCCTAACTTAGTCCGTGATTACTTCGTTAATCAAGCTGGAAGCTGTACCTCCATGTAATCGTTGAATCTTTGGATTGACTTGGTTGGAGTATATCGTTTCATAGTATGTAACATTATTATATTGTTCAATGTCATTACATTTGTATTTTGCGGACGTCCGATTAAATTTAAATACGAATTTATACATTTGAAAATTGTATATTTAAAAACATACTAATTATATGAATGGTGATCTTAATCCTCCTTTTTTTTATGGTTAGAAATCTATCATTGAAATCCTTTGTTATTGTTACTATTAGTCATACGGGCTTGCCGCTTTAGTAGGACCGGTGGCGAACATTTTGGTAAGCAGGGCGTCGTGGGTTTTTCTTGTCATTGTTTGAGCCTGATGGGTCCGCTCAGACAAATATAGGTGACATGATGCAATCACATGATATTGATAAGTAGTAAAAGTAGTATCGGTTGTATTTATGTTGTTGCTATTGTTTAGTTTATTGTCCTTGCGGCGTTTTATTGATGTAACCAAATAATGGTGTCGCCCGGCGGTGTGCCGTAACCTTTATTTCAATCTTCTAGTATGCTTTTTTCGCGCACTGTGGTGGTCTACACACGTCTAGGGCACTCGTGCGAGGGAAGTGCCCTGTTAAGTGTTGTCGGTCTCTGCGGATGCCATGACACGTTTAAGGGCACTAGCGCATCATGTACAGTTTAAGTTTCATGAAGTAACGCATATATTGTTACTTGTTTAACCAGCGTAGGCTACTCGTGCAATTAAATTATAACGACATCTGATACGTTTTACAGAAGGTAAAACATCACACTCTGTTTATGATATTTTATGATTAATAATTCTTTAACTTGAAGTACAAATTTTTGTTTTTTGTTGGTTATATATTCATTAATTTTCTTACCTTTGAATAAATAAATAAAATAATGTTTTGTCTAATTTAATAAATTTATTTTTAATATTACTTTGCACTTAGATTCTCTTAGTCCTGATCTGTTCAACAATAAAAAAGCAATGAATGCCGAGGCTCTCATAACCTACCTAAGTTGAAGGTAACATATTTAAACAAATCTGTTTTTTGAAAATTTATTTAACAGTACACATTAAACTTTTTCAGCTCTCACTCAATTGTTCTTCAAATGTTCAGTCTTCTCCGAAATATTTAATGTTTTAATTACCAGTTATTTCGATCACTCGACAGAGGGACTTAAAAAATACAATTGATGTATAATCTTCACAGATGTATTATAAATCAGTTGTTTAACAATTGTAATTAATTTTTTTTTTAATGTAAACCTAATATAGTAACCTTACGATAATAATTATTATACTTTAAGTATCTTAATCAATTGTTTTAATAATTAAAATTAAATAGTTTTTTCTTTTTTCCTTTGGAAGCTAAGAACTATAATTGTTATATTATCAATTTATGTTAAAACTTAATATAGTAATTTTTGCGTTGTTGAATTATTTTAATATTTTGATTTTATATGAACTTTTGCTTTTTAGAGATGAATGTTAAATTGTTTGTTATAAATTACATTCTATGAAATATATTTTTTTGTTTTAATGTGATTCACTTTCATAATGCATTTTTAACATTTTACCTGAATATTTTCTCTTACGTCCTAATACAAATTATATTTGATCCAGTATTTGCTTGTTAATAAAATTACACAGAATGTTCAGTAAGTAAGAGATCAGGCCAGTCGTTACAAACAATGAGAACAATAGAAACCTGTTTCCTTACTTACTGAACACTCTATATATGTACATATGTATTGACACATATTTTGATTCTATTAATACTAATAGCAATGAAAATTGAACGTTCTTGTGTAGATGACTTTGAAAATAACTTCAGTTTGGGAAACTCAACCCACGAGAGCGTGTAATCAAACCACAACGGATCGTAAAGTGATGGAATAACTAGGGACTCCTTATCAGGTTACCGTGTGGTGTCCATTCGAAAACTGGAAGAACAGTGCATGGACGCCTTGAGGAATTCTTATTTTACCTTCGGGGAGTTCTTTAGGAGTCATTTGGAATATTTGGTGATACTAGGATATTGATAAGTTTAAGAAATGTATTGCAATTTTAAAATTTAATTAGATTCTAACTACTTAATTTGTAGAAATAATTTATTGTAATTTAATTTAATTATCAGTTGTAAATAGTACAAATTTAGCAAGTTGTTTATTTGAAATCACTATGAGCTTATAAGTTTTTTACTATTATACTTGTTTTGTTTCATTTACATTTATAAATTGAACCTTTTAATTCTATTTAATAGTCTTAAAATAATAAATTTCAAATAATTTAAGTTCATGCATTGTTATTAGTTGTTGTAAAATTAAATAAAAAAAATTTCAATTGTAAACATAAAAATAAAAGAGTTTTTATAGTCCGCTAGTAAAATATACTAAATAATTTGGTCATTTAAACAGTGCCAAAATTTTGATTTTACTTTTATAATATTTATTAGGGTTCGTCAACGATATATTTTTTACATCGATATCGTACTAAATTCCAGCAATATTAAAAAAATAATTATTTAAAAATTAAATTGAATATTTAAAAGTTTTCACTATTTTTTTTTTTACTTTTAAGAATAATGTTAAATTACTTATGTAAAAAACAAAAAGAATAAAAGATTTGTTATTTTTTCAAAAATAGAATTTAAACTTTTGCAGAATATAAAAAACATTTTCATCTTCAACACTATCATCTAATAAGGAATTTTATTTTTTATATTAAGTTTCAACTAGTTGTTGCTGTTTATCATCTAATTCTGACATTTTTTTCTTTAATTCTCCTCTTGTCTTACTTAGTTCGTGTTTTATGTAAAAATAGGAATAACAAATATGTCATAATATAAAAATGTTAATAATTTAAATATAGTCATAATCCATATCTCACCAACAGTCTATTATTTGTATATATTTTAAAATAATAATAACTTTCGAAATACTTGTTCAAAATTTGGGTTAGACATTTTACAAATTTGAAAATTATCTATTTTATAAGCTAATTAAATATGTATGTAATCAATAAAACAAATTTAGTTAACACCCTAAAACTAAAAAAGAAAAAAAAAAATGCTGATATTATTTTTATTTTATAAGAAGTTGAATGAGTTGGTATAGATGAATCCACCTTTAGTATAAAAACTGTATAATAACATTACTTAGTAGTATTTTCTATTTCATAAAAGGTAACGCGAAGAATAAGAAAATATAACTTCCTTGATTAATTCATATTTTCTATTAAATACTAATAAATATAAAATTATTATGGTGAAGTTTGAATAAAATATAAGAAATTGTATGTTCTTTTTTAATTAGTTGTTAATAAGTAACCTTAATTATGCCAATGAAATCTATATTTTACACTAGGAANGTAACATACAGAATGTTACTACACTTGTGTAACATACACAAGTGTAGTAGTTAGGGATGAGTAATTCACGAATGAATCAATTCAGTGAATCGATTCGACAATTAGATTTGATTGAATTGATTCAGCGTGGTAAAAAGAATCGGTTCATAGGTAACACTGTTATTTTAGTATGTACTAAGCAGGGATGAGTAATTTACGAATGAATTGATTCCCCAGATGATTCGATTGAAGTGATTTTGTGTGGTAGAAGAATCAGTTAATGGGTAACACTGAAATTTAGCTTATCTCACAATAAAAGCACACCTAAATACACAATGATCTACGTTATCATTGTTATAGCAAACAATTCTAATTTTCGAAATACTATTAGTCCGAACCAAAAAATGGATAAACGAGAAAACATCAGACCACTTTTCTGACTAGGAATATTTTTAACGGAATTTAAAAAACAATGCATAATAAAAAAATGTTATATCTGCCCCCCCCCCAAATTACCAACAAGCAACTGTTACTATTTACTATCAAAAAAAATAATGATCATAAAAATCGTTGTATAACTATTTGATCTTTTAGTGTCTAAACATTATCATGATAAAACATTTTTCTCTTAATTAAGTTCAATATGAATAATTATTGTTTGAATCACTGAATCGATTCAAAGAACCGATTCATTTAAATGATCTGATTCAAAAGAGTTGATTCATCTGATCGAATCAAATTTCCCATCACTATTTTACAGTGAAGAAAGTTAAGTAACCTGTCTTGTATACATTCACGATTTTAGTTATGTTTTACTATTCTACAGAAGTGATAAGATATTATCTATGATGTGGTTATATTTTATCGAGAAAACAATTATACCAACTTGATAGTTTAAAGGATATGTTGTTAGACGCTATTGTCGCCCTCTATTTCTATGGCTTCATACCAACTATTACCAGATAACATATTGCAGTATATCGTTCGTCTTATGGAACTGATTAATTGTGATCGTATTGGTCATTACACACCCGTGTAGATAAACATTGTTGTTTTTACATTTAGTGCTGTTTAACGCGGTTTTTATAATCATCTCGGTCATAATTACATTTTATAATTGAGTTGTTCAATGACGATCGAACGACAGGAGATCACGTTTTTCTAAGTTTGTCGGAAGTTCTTTCATTTTAATTGGTAAAATTTTCTTTCATAATGGACGCAGTTAAAGCTTTTACAATTGAGGTAATTAAGACATAACTTAATAAATTTTTAGAAACAAATGAGTAAATTAAATTACTCTCATGATCACAGTCTCAGTTTAAATAGGGTACAAATCAAATATCTGAAGTTCTTTTATATAACGTTTAGTAACCACTATCTTGTAATAATGTATCAGAAATATTCACAAACTTTTACTTTTACAGTCATTAGTTTTATTTAAATATTATGCAATAAAAGAAACTTAATTTTAGCTCTATTCCATTATGGATATGAAACCACCAATATCAAAAGCCAAAATGACAGCTATTACACGAAATGCTATCAAAGCTATTAAATTGTACAAGCATGTTGTGCAATGTGTTGAAAAATTCATTCAAAAGGTCAGTAATTTTGTTAATTTATTTAGATTTGTTTATATTTATATATATTTTTTTTCTAAGTGTAAACCGGAATACAAGATACCTGGTCTTTATGTGATTGATTCAATAGTGCGTCAGTCAAGACATCAATTTGGAAATGATAAAGATGTATTTGCACCAAGATTTGCTCGTAACCTTAAAATTACTTTTTCACATTTATTTGCTTGTGCAGAAGAAGATAAGGTATATATTTTACTATTCCCTATTTACAAGGTGATTGATTAACTATAGTTCCAGCAATATAAAAGTATAAAACATACTACAATATTTTCTTTTCAGTAAATAATATTAATGTCATAGAATGTAATAGTATCCTATATTATATAATTTTTAACAAAATAAATTGGTTCTATCCCTCTAATCTTCTTCTAAAATAATATCTACTTAATTTTTTTTAAATGGAAACATATATTTAACTTGCTTAAAAATAAGTAAATGATCTAACTAAAGATAGATAGAAATAAAGAGACCTGCACTTCATCTCTAGTCATTATAATAAATTTTAATAACTTGCTAAATACTAATTCAAAAGTTTGTCAGATAATTTCTATATAATTAAGATATTTGATTGAAAATAACCTTAAGTTAATACAATTTAAATGAGTAAGGGAGGATATGATCAAATTATTTTTTAAAAATTAATAGAATTTAGGATACCGTTAACTTCTGAAAATAAAAATTATATGTTTTATTCTTTTGTTTGAGACATAATTAATGAATCGATGTGTATATGTTGTAAATTTAAATTACAGAAAACAGAAAAATGGTATAGTCAAAATGAATAAAGCAAAATATCTCTAGTTTGATGTTAGGTTCTATTTAATATAAAAATACGAGCTCTGCCCCTGACCCTGTACCCTACATGCTTCATGTACTTATGGTGCATTAGATCCTTCGGGTTGTCTTTACAAGTAGGCCACTTATTCTGGTAGTAGTACCCGGCAACGGCAGGCACAATAAGTGTTGTGCAGGAAAAGTATCACTCTAGAAGCAGTTTAACAGTAACATAGTAGACATTTAATTAATAAAATTAGTAAAATTCAAAAATAGTTTACATTTTTTGACTATATGGTATGGTAAGGCATACTTTAATAGTAAAAAAATTTGTTCCAAAAGAAAAATATGAGAAGGAAATAAAAACAGTTATTAATGAAAATAATAATAAATGAACTTTTCTATTATACAATACTTATTTTTTTATACATCCTATACAATAATTTTTATTGAACACATGAAATAAAAAAATTACCTAATAGTATAAATCTATAATATTTAGATGTACTCCTAAGGTATCTTTAAATATTGTATTATTAGTACACTTGTATACTTGCATAAAATTTAAACAAAATTGACATGTACAAATCAAAATAATATTACTAAGTTTAACAAAAAATGTATAGCAGTTATTAGTACTTTCATGTCTCATCAGGAGAATATTAAAAATACCTAGTTATAAAAATAACTAGCTTCTTTAACTAGTAAACTTTTTACTAATAACTATTTCTTGACATATTTTTTAAGGGAAAAAAATGTGGTTATATATATAAAGTGATTGGTGGTGTATCATAAACTACCCAATTACTCGCAAAATAAATACAATATTGGAAAAATAATATTTGATTTCTTTTAGTTACATATTATTCTGAAGATACCAAATTAATATAATTCGATAGGAGGTATGCACAATGGACCTACAGGTCTGAGTGAACGGGCAGTTCTTGCCCACCTTTATAACAACTAAAACTACTTATAAATCTTGATTTATTAGCTAATAATCTTTAGAATCATCCCTTATAACGTATTGGGGTGAAAATTTCTTTTTTTAAAATGGTAACATACATTCTTATACATAACTTATAAAATAGAAAATTATCTAAATAAGAAAATGATAGTTCGATAACAACATTTAGACAAATACTATGAATGTTATTCTCATTTTTGTATCTAAGCGAGATGATGAGTATATAATGACTAGTGATAAAAATAGCAGATCCCAATCGTCGCTTCCAGTCATTACTTTAAATTGTTAATAACTTCTAAAATACTGGTGCAAAAGTTGTTATTGACTAGTCATTTTTTTGACTAGTATGTTGCCATTTAAAAAAAAAGTTGAGATTCCTTTAAGGGATGATTTTATAAAGTAATTTTTAGCTGATAAATCAAAAATTATGTAACTAATAGAAATCAAATATTATTTATCCAATTTAGTATTTATTTTGTGAGTATTCGAATGGTTTATTATAAACCGATCACTCTGTATATTACAAGTTAAAAAACTTCCTTAATTACTTATCTGTCTGATATATGTAAATGGTTACCAAGATTAAACAAAAAATTGTCATTTACGAGAAAAAGAATTGCATTCAAAGTTGACATAAAAAAAATAACAATTTTTGTTTTCTTAAACTATGTTAAAAAACTTTCTTTATTAATGGTCTCCAATAAAAAAAAAATAGATATACATTTTTTATACTTTCAAATAGACTTGTTAAGAGCTTTTTTTATAAAAAATGTTGATAGGTCGAAAATTTTAAGTCTTATTTGCCTTTTGTTCCTCTTAAAACCTCACTTTCATTTAAATTATGATTGTTTTGTACTCATATTGCAATATAATAATGTGTCTTCAGTCATTATTAATTCCGGTTCAGTGTTTCTAGCATTAGTTGCTACAGGTGGTTTCAAAGAAGTTTTTGATAAATCAAGATATTCTATACCTCCAAGATTTAAGTATTCATTGTTAATCATTGTGTCAGGCACTTCATATCCTTCATTTGTTATAGGATGTGTAATTTGTTTATCATAAGAACCTGAATAAGTAATATCAACTGTATAAGACACTGATGTAGATAAATTTTGTAGTTGTGCTACAAAAAAAAAAAATCCTAAAATAAATTAAATTTGTAATTTTAAGGTTATATTATATAAATATAATATCAAGCCTTAATAGATAAAATGATGTGAGCAATAATTTTTTGTGAGAACTATATATTGATATCAAAATGCTCACAATTAAATTTGTTCAATTATCTCTTTTTTTTTTTAACACTTTATAAGCCCATTAAGGGCCATAGTGGTCTACCCCAAAGGAGGTTTCTTAACCATTGATACTCTGAAACAGGTGGTTTACCCGTCACCAGAGAGAGAGATGGCGACTCTTATTACCAAACTAATCTATTGCTCGGCAAATGAAGCCTCTCGTGACTGAGTTTCGAACCCAAAGCAGTGCATGTCAAACACTGCCATTTTACAGACTTGACCACACTGACCCTTTATACATCATATATATATATAAATTATTATTTTTTTTTTAGAGTAAAGTAATACGGGTTTTGAATCTATGGCAAAAAAATGCAGTATTCACTACGGATGTAATTCAACCTATTTTTGATTTGGCTGCTAATCCAGAATTTGAAGATCATACTCAAATTAATCCATTATCATCAATTGAAAATAGCCCTAAACTAAGTAAGTATTTTTAACTTAGAAAAATTTTATAAGATAAATTTATTTCAAGTGTTGGTTAAACAATTTTTTATTTGATAAAGAGGAAAAGTTTTCAAATAAAAACTGAAATTTTCTCATTTTAAAATTAAGGACTAATTTTTTTTTATAGTGTTCTAAGCTACTGGAGCCTAATCTATATTTAAATTTCAAAAACCTATCTTTTGAGGAAATAGAGATATGAGGTTAGAAAAACTGAGTAAATTATTTTGTATAAGAATACATTAGCATTGCTATAATTTGGTTTGGTGCACTGTTATGTACTCAGATATAACTGTCTTCTGGTTAGAGGTAGTGGAAATGTCTTAAGATTTTTTCAGCAGTATTTGACACCATGATGGCCTTTATAAGTTTATATAGATATAAGTAATCTTTCTGTTTGTGAAGACTTGCTTTACTAAATAGGTACCCAAATTTAAAAAATAAATCTTTCTGTGGTCTATAAAAATCTTGTAACTTAACTGTCTAGGTTACTTTTGCAATACTTTAAACCCATTGATTGATTTTCATGGATTGGATTAGGAAATATTAGTGTTCTAGTGATAATTTTTTTGTTATTTATAATGAAGGTTATTTATTAGGGTCGTTCATAATATCAATGTTTAAAAAAATTTTTTCTTACCACTTTTTGTTGTTCTCTATAGTTTAAAAATAATTCTTTTTTGAAGCATAGCAGAATAATTTATTTTTTACTCTCTAAAAATTTCTAAAACATATATGTTGTTTAAAAAATGAAAATATTCACAAAAAAGTTAAGGATATATTTAAAGTTACACATGATGTAACTTAAAAAGTTGTATTGATTTTAGAACTGTATAAGAATATAACTTATAGCAAATATTAACTACAGTTCCTATTATAAGTAGTTTCAAATCATTGTAAAGATCATATCCAATTGTAATAAAGATACTTTAACAAAAAATAATTCATCATCTTTTTAATATTACGTTTATTAATTTTACACTTAATGATATGCATTTATTTAAAACATTTTAATTGTCAAGTTAACTCAATTTTATATTGAAATATGTTATATACTCAAATACTATTTTATATCTATAGAATATAACATAAATGGGTAGGAGATGCAACATTAAAAAAAAATTTTTTTGATCTGTTTTGAACTACTGTTATTTATCTAAAAACATATTCAAATTAGAAGTTATAAGTAAAGCTTAATGTTAGAAATAATCTAATTTTATATATCTATTGAGTTAATTATAGCCTTAAATTAAATTTATCATTATATAATTATATATTCTCAAAAGTTCTTCTACTACATCTGTAATTTTTTTTTATTAATAATTGTATGCATGTATGTTAAGTTAAAAATGTATCCTATTTTGTGCTTTAATATCTTATGTCAGTCATATCAGATGCTTATAGTAATTTACAAGTTAATTTATTACTAAATAGAGAGCAAGACCATAAGATAAACAATATTAATGGTGTTTTATTTTTTAATTTTATAATTTTGAAATATTATATATCCTATTTCAATGGTTAAAATTTCATTTTTTAATGAATGAATTTTTATTTTCTAATCCTGTTACAGGTGTAAAAACTGATATTTTCAAAAGCCAAGAGATTACACCCATCAAAGATGATCCTTCGAAAAGTTTTGATTCTTTACAGGTATTGATTAAATTTTATTTTTAATTTAAGTCCAATTTAAATTATTATAATACATATGTGTAATACATATGTGTTTTATTGAGATATATTTCATGATAAAATTGAAAGCTCAAGAATTATTTGGGTTATAAAATACTTATATTTATTTTAGTATTGCTTTTCATTGTATTATTTTTTTAATAAATTTGTCTTTTTATGTGAAGGGGTGCAAGATGGTGCATTTTCATGGGAATTTGTTTTTAGCTTAAAATGAAATTTTTAGTTCACTTTAAGTAACTTCATTATTACGTGTATATAATGTGTATTTGATGAAAATCATAAATTTGGTACAAAATAATGTTTTATGTAGTAATTACATAAAAATTCCTTTATTGTATAGAATATATATTTTTTTCTAACATTTCTCTAATTATTCTGGTAACATGCAATTATTAATGTTATTTGTCGCCCAAAGTTTGATGATGGAACTTTTTATCAGTCTTGTATTGATGTTTCTTTGTATTTTGTTTTATGACTTAAAATCTTATTTTTATATTTATATTTATACGTATTATGAAAACTATAGTCAGTAATGTATATAATGCAATGCTTAGAAAGTGAGAAGTTCATTTATGTTGACATTCTGCTATTAAATTATTGTTTTTTAATCCTTGAAATTAAAATAAAATAGGTAAATGCTGCTTGGTAAAAGAAAGAAAGACATATTCATCACAAAATATATTATGTATTTATAATTTTGTTAATTAAAATTAAAATAAACCAATGATACGATTTTCTTTAAGGTTCAATCTTTCATATGTTGCTAATATTAATACCATATAGGTAGAATTAAAAATTTATTGTCATCATTGTACCCAGCCCTTCAATTAGATTTTCTTCTTTCTTGTTAAATCTAGATGAACTATAAATATAAAGCGTCTTGTTGGAATTTAATTTAAAAATTCTTCCGATTTAATTATTTTAGAACTCTGATGATAATAAACAACTAGATCCTGCTATTCTTCAGCATTTGCAAGCAATTCAATCTATATTAAAAAAACAACCTGGACAGTCAACATCATCTCCACAAATTAAAAAATCTGAAACAGTAAATCAACTTTCATTATGTTAATATTGTAGTAGTTTCAAAACTATATTATCATTCTCAGGTAAAACTATTTGATAAGAAACTTTTAGATTATGATTATGGTGAAGAAGAAGATGACACATTAAATCAGTCTCCTCAATTTCAACAACAACAATTGCAGCATCAAAACACTTCTATAGAAGGATTAGACAGGTTGGTAAAGTAACAAACTTTATTTAATTTAGATCATATTGTATTAATTATATATGTATACATTTTTTTTTTTTTAATATCCTTTGTTGAAAAGAAACCATTTTGATACTCTGTAAGCTTAGATTATAAATGATGAAAGAAATAATCCAAATATTTATCAAAATATACTTGCTATACATTTAATGTGTAAATAACATACTTAAAATTGGTCCAATTTTATTAAAATGTATTTTTAGTTACATCTATTATCAACAGCCATTAGTAAAATGTGATTATAATTGTAAACATGTAGGTTGTATTTATCAAAAATTAGATTTTTAGATTTCAAAAAATGTATTTTCATCAGAGGTTTGTATTCTTTCTACTTTAAAATGTTTTGTGATTAAGTTTTATGTAAAAAATTACAGACTTAATTTGTGTTATGTGAAGTTTTTTTAATTTAGAGAAAATTGAAGACAAAATATTTTCAATAATTATTTTAGTAAATAATTATAAAGTTATTAACATATCTAATTATTAATTAATGAAGCAAAAAAAAAATGTATTTATTAATATTAAGATTAAGTTGTAATGATAGTTTCAGAACTTCTATTTTTTATAATTCATAACAAAATATACTAGTTATAATTTAGCTAGTTTTAGAGACTACATTACATTTAATGCAAATATTAAAATGGACTGAAGTTTAACTATGATTCTAAGATTCTTTTTATTACATGTTCTTTGTGTTGATATATAAATTATATAATGTTATTTATACCTTATTTATTAATGTTAACAGGCATATACTTCGTGTTTGGATTGCATTTTAGTTTCTAAATGATGATATTTTTATCAACCATCTATCAAATTTATGTTTCTGTACATAAAGTATTAAATAGTATTGCTTAATAAAAGCTAAGACATATTTTTGTGTAGGTAACATAAAATTATATAAGAAATAATTATTTCAAACAAATTTTTGAAAGTAATAATGTATAATAGTTTTTTTTTATAATGTTACAAAAATGTAAAAATATATACAGACAATAATATTAGATGTAGCTAAAGTACTTATTTTCCTACAAATTAAAAATTTTCAGGATAGTTGGTAAATTGTTATTTTTGATAATATTATGAAATTTTAGTAATTTAAATATAGTAACACAAACATTTTTTTTTTACTGATGATTAGGTTTATAGTGTAAAGTTACACTTAGTTCATTCTTCAATTATTATTCATAATTTTGAATAAAAAATTGCTTTATTAGAGTTATTTTCTATTATTTTTTGTTTTTCAAATTCAGCCTTTTGAATAACCCAGAAGTTCTGCGCACATTGCGCAATGTTGAAGGGCTTATGTCCACTCAATCTAAACAGCAGGCTGAGCTGGATAAGATAAAAGAAATGAGAAAAGAAGCGGAATTTGATAAACATCTTGCTCAAACAGTACAGGTAAGACGACAGAAATATGTTATTTTTTTATAGTTGTATTTTAATTGATTATGTTACTATTTTCTGAGAATAAATGACCACAATCCAAACACGAGTCCCTATGCTTATACTTTTGTTTAGTTCTTCAAAAAAAAAAAAAAAAATTAAATTAAATATTTCAGTGCGGTTATTCAACGAAAGGTAGGTTAATTGAACGAGTGATCCTGTATCTGAGAGTTTTTTCATCGTTTGGTAAGTAATTAGATTTTAGTTTATAAATTTATCAAAAGTGAATTCTTTTTTGTCTATTTCATTTTATTATAAACTTTGTTTAAAAAATTTGTACAGCAATTATTTATGAAAATTTTAATTTATATACTTATATTTGTTATTATTTCAGAGTTTACCATTTGCTTCAGAGTGTGAATTGAAGCCATCTCCAGTTATTCCACAGTCAATTAGTATGGTTACTAACCCTTATACCAATCAACAATACAATACTCAAATATTTCAACAACAGCAACAACCATTGTTAACTTCTGATGCTCATCATAAGCCAGTTCAACAATTAATGTATGAATATATATATAATTATATTTATACTTAATGTGTGATTTATTTTTTTTATTAATATAATTATAAAGTTTTATATTAATAATAGTATAAAAATTAAAGCCTAGAGTATTATAAAATAAAAATTGTAACTACTATAGGTTATCCCTTTGGTCATCATCAAATAACTTAAATTGAAATTATAAATCAACATAAATAAAATTAAAAACTAAAAACACATTAAAAATTATAAAAAAACAAACAAATCATAATACATAAAATATATAAAAAGAATGTTGAAATATTAAAATAATGTTATTGTAGGTATAAAATTTGACTAAATCGATGACTAGTGGCAAATTACTTAAAGCCGTGTTCTGGTTGATAAGAGTGTTTAGAGAGATAGATATATTGATAAGTTTTGTTGTTTTTAAAAACTGTTTTTTTATAGATAGTAATTGAAATTATTTTTTTTGAATTCATTATGTGTGTGTAATTCTTCTAAGATTGTGTGATTGTTTTTATTGTTGTTATTTTTTAAAATTAAAAGATTATCTTTGATGTAATGAAAATTATGATTACTTTTTAGTACATGTCTTGCAATATTTGATTTGAAATGAATATTCTTTAGTTTCATTTCAGCTATGTATTCTTTATATTGAGTTTTGAAATGTTTTTTCCTATGTAAAATTTGTTACAGCTAGATTCTAGTTTGTTTATGCCTAGACCATCATAATTAGTGTGTGTAAAAGTTGGTGTTTTATTAATTTTGCTGTTTTCAATAAATTATTATGTGTTTTATATCCAATTTTAACGTTGTTGTAATTATTATTTAGTATTTTACCATACTTTTGTGTTTAAGGGGATGGTCTGGCCTAATGAGTAGAAACATGTTTTGGATTTGATCTTTAAAATGCCTACGAGATTTTGTTGTGATTTTGTATTGGTGGTGTCTGGTCTCTGGTGCAATCCTTCCATAATACCTCTCTTGTCCATAATTGGTCTAGCCAAGAACCCTCTGTAGCATGTTAAGTGTGGGAAATAAAAGAATGTAAAACAAATTATATATTTATGTTAAAAATTTGTTTAATTTACACAACAATAAATAAGTAAAGCATCAAGTTGAAAAATACATTTTTTTGGCTGTATATGTTATGATTTGAATCAAATGAATTTATTGCCTGTTTGGGTTGGTTTTCTGTATATTTATGATATGCTTTGATATATTTATTAATTTTATTATTATTGAAGATTGGTGTTGTTTCATAATTTGCATATATATTTCTGTAAGATGTCACTTAACAGGCTTCCAATGTCAAGCTCACGTTTTTGTATATTTATTTTATTATTATTATAATAATATTTTTTATTAATAAGCTGTATATTTAAAATATTTAGTTACTCTTGTTAGGATATTAATGTATAAATATTCTTGATATTTAGAGTTAGAAATTATAGGTGTTTTTAATAAAATTACTAGAGTATATATTTAACTTTGATTGTAATATGTTAATGAATTTGGCTAGGTTGCATCTTGAAAAAAATTTGAAATTTATCAATGTCCTTATTGGTTTTTTTTGTGAAAGTTTATAAAGGGATAAATTATGGGCAGGGATTAGTTCTTGTCTGAAATTTTTATATTTTTATACTATTATTAATATCAAGATTTCTATTTCTATTATTATAATTGAGTATCAAACTAATTTTATTATTCAACATTTATTTTTGTTTTTGTTTAAATTTACTAAAAAAAGTAAAATAATTGAGGAATTAATCAAAATAGTATCGTATGCCACATAATAATAAATAGGCATTATATAACTTTTAAATTTTTTTTTTGGAATAAACAATAAAAATAATATATAAAATAAATTAGAAATTTGTAACTATTGAATATTTCCCTTTTTAAAAAAATATCAGTCCAAAATTTATTAAGAACCTAGTGAATAGCACTAGTTATAAAACATGAGATGTATTAATACCAAATACAAATATTTCTATAATTGCTTAATAATGTACATTAAAAAATAATAATGAGTCAATTTTTTAATTTATATTGTATATAAAATTTATAGTAACTATAGTAAAATCTATTTTTAAAGAGTTTTTAAATTTTAATTTATAGGAATTATGAAGGTTCAAATCAAACTAAACCAGAAGTAATTGACCTAGATCATATAGCATCACCACCACATAGCAAGCGGGACACAAGGCGTGATGGGTATTCAACTAGTTCTTCCAGAAAAAGATCACCTAGGAAAAGTAGTAGAGATCGTCAGCGAGAACGTGAAAAAGAACGTGAACGAGATAGAGAAAGAAGAAAAAAACATTTACCTCCCTTTAAAAGAAATCATTTAGCTGGTAAATAAAAAACATTTTGAGTTTTGACTTTATTAATATTAATTATTATAAATAATGTTTGTAGTTGTAAGTACAACTCTTTGGGTTGGTCACCTTTCTAAACTAGTTCATCAAGATGACTTGTATGGATTGTTTCAACCAATTGGTGATATTGTATCACTAAATTTAATTTCACCAAGAGGATGTGCATTTCTGTGCATGAATAGAAGACAAGATGCTGCACGTATCATGAATAAATTTCAAGGAGAAAGATTACAAGGAAGACCTATGACTGTAACTAATATTTGCATAAAATAATCATGTAATCATTTTTAAAAATATATCCTTTTTTTTTTGTGTTGTAGATTGCTTGGGCTCCTGGGCAAGCCATGAAAGATAAAGAATGGAAAGATTATTGGGAAATTGAAGATGGTGTTTCATATATACCTTGGGAAAAACTCAACAAAGATATTGATTATGATGAACTTGAAGTTGGAGGCATGTTAGATGAAGAAACTATGCCAGATTGGTTAAAAAGTACTTGTACTAGGATTAATTTATTTAGTTTCTTAATTTTTAAAACTTTACTTTTACACTCTAGTCCATTTGAAAAATTTAAGAGCTACAAAGAAGTATGAAAAAAAAGAAGATAAACAAATAGATGGTAGCTTACAGACTTCTAGCACATCTAATGTTATTGATCAACAAGGTGGACAATCTTCTCCTGGTGTACAAATGCAAATGTCACCGGCACAAAATACTCAATCAAATCAAATAAATTTTAATATACCCCCATCTATGAATATGTCTAACCCTTTTGGAATAAACCCTAGTAAGTATTTTTTTAACCTTAAAATTTTCTGTGTGGAGTGGTGGTCTAACGAATCTAAAAAATTTTAATTTCCTAGATATTTTATATAACTTTTTTTAGCTTCAGTACGAAGCTGAGAAAGTATTAGTTTTGCTATGAAGTATTTCTTTTTTTTGTGTCTGTTATCACTTTTTCTCAGCTCTCACCGAACCGATTTCTTTCAACAATACGTCAAAAGATCACAAATTGTATCCAGTCGAAGATATTATCCTGAAAAATTGAAAAAATTTCCTTCGTTCCCTCTAAATGGGGGAAATTTCCAAAAAAATTACAAATTGGAAAATAGCAAATTTTTTCAATTTTTTTTTACTTAAAACTGCCATAACTTTTTAAAAATTATCAAATCAATATAATTTTTTTTTTATAGATGTATGATTTCTTTACTTATCATTTGGTATATTTTTTTTTATAAATTTGACCCTTTACCTACCCACAGGGGGGGGGTTTAAAATGATATCTTTTTCAACTTAACTTTTGAAAGTGTTCCGGAAAGTCTGACACTTTTATGTATACAGTAGAACTCCAATTATCCGAACTCCGACCATCCGAATCGCCGATTATCCGAATCACTTTCAGAAAAAAATTTGTCCAAAGTCCACGACGTCAGTGTAGGCACAACACGTGGTAAGAGTTCCCACTCCAGTTCCGGCGCATTGCAGTCACCTGTCATTGTTTGTTTTGATTAGTCAGTGAATGGGTCCCGGTCCCCATTAATTCGGATAATTGGAGTTCTACTGTATCTTAAATTAAAGCTAATGTAATATACTTTATCATGGAAAAAAAATTTCTACCGTATGCTATTTGGTATTATTTCTATAGAATATTGAAATTTGTTAAATTTTGGATTTTTTTTATGATTTTTCTATGCTATCAAATATTAGTCTATGTTATGTAAAGGACAGAAGTAAACACTATCTTATTATATTATTTTCTGGCAACAGTATGAAACTTTTTTTTTATAAAAATTATTTACATTTTTCAAAAAATTATTGTATTTAAAGTTAAAAATGTAAAATATACATTCGAGAATTTTCACACCAAAATAGCATTTGGTAACTATTTTCACCGTGAAGACAGAATAAAGTCCGAAATTTTTTTTTCCATAATAAAGTATATTACATTAGTTTTAATTTAAGATATACATAAAAGTGTCAGACTTTCCGGAACACTTTCAAAAGTTAAGTTGAAAAAGATATCATTTTAAACCCCCCCCCTGTGGGCAGGTAAAGGGTCAAATTTATAAAAAAAAATATACCAAATGATAGGTAAAGAAATCATACATCTATAAAAAAAAAATTATATTGATTTGGTAATTTTTAAAAAGTTATGGCAGTTTTAAGTAAAAAAAATTGAAAAAATTTGCTATTTTTCAATTTGTAATTTTTTGGAAATTACCCCCATTTAGGGGGAACGAGGGAAATTTTTTCAATTTTTCAGGATAATATCTTCGACTAGATACAATTTGTGATCTTTTGACGTATTGTTGAAAGAAATCGGTTCGGTGAGAGCTGAGAAAAAGTGATAACAGACACAAAAAAAAGAAATACTTCATAGCAAAACTAATACCTTCTCAGCTTCGCATTAAAGCTAAAAGTACATTGAAATTTTATTTGTACCAAAAGTTATAGTGTTGTCAGTTAGATCTGAGATATGCTATATCTATATATATATATATATATATATTTTTAGGATTAATTAACCCTATGATGAACCCTATGATGCCCAATTCAATGACACCTCTAAGCATGGGTCATCCATCAATGATGATGATGAACAGAATGCCAAATCCATTTGGACCTCCACGTGAGTCTTAAATTATAAATTTTATTTGTTATAAAATATATAATGTGTTAAATTTTAGCTAACATGACAATGATAAGTAACCCTCAACAGATGGGAATATCTAATGATGGTCAAAAATCATTAGGTGTACCACCTCCTGATATGGTTATGCCCTTTCCTTTTAATATGAACCTGCCTACTCAAGGTAAATATTAATGTTCTATCCAGATAAACATTTAGCATAGTAATTAATGGATTAAAATGAATTTTTCAATAAATCTTAGTTACATATCCTACTTATGAAAATTGGTCTATTTTTGTGTTCTCAATTAGACCTGGTTCACCTTGTGTTTATTTATTGTATAATAAACAGATATATTATCTTTAAGATTACAATACATTTATTTTAAACAATGATAATATAAAAAAGAGAAAAATAACAAATATATTTATTATAAATTACATTTAAAAATTACAAAATATTAAAAATATATAATAATGAAACATGACCAATTTAATTAATATTCTACTCGGTATGATATCTAAATTCATTTAATTTTCTGTTGATATAAGAAGATTGTATGGAGACTTAGACATCTACTTTCTTTCTGATGATTTATGTATAATTTTGATCCCTAGTATGGGATAAGTTGATGCTAAATTGAATTAAAGCCAATATATTAGGATAATAAATAGACAATAATGTTTCCAAATTAAATGTACTCTAAAACCTTTTAATAAGTACCACGGTAGAGATCTTCTCAATATAAGTATAAAGCCAAATTTTGTTGTTGATCATATTGATTAATATTCAAAAATATTCATCTTCACTAATGACATAAAGCTGTTCCTACAAATTGATTCACCAGCTAACTATTTTTTACTGCAATGAGACCTCAATTGTTAAGTTATATGGGGTTCACTTTGCCTTACTCTTTATATCGCAAAATGTTTTTTCATGACCTTCTCCTTTCGTTTAAGCCAAATTTATTATCCTTACAATGTAAATAATATATTGATTGTTATCCTTAAATTTAATATCTCTTATCCTTCTTATAACTATTATCCTGTTCCTGTTCTTAAATTTACATTCTCTGGCTGACTTTAGATACTTAGCTAATTTATCATTTTTCTCTAATATTTTATTTAGTAAAATCAATTCTCTTGTTCTCCTCTCCCTTGTTAATTTTAGAATTCTTGCTTATAACACTAACAAAATTTAACCTTTTTTCAAATATCCCACTCATCTACTAAATTCCAGTGAAACTCTTTTCAAATATATTTTATACGCATTGCAAAAAGTGACCCCATCTTTTTTATGTTAATATTAATTACATATATTATTGTTAATATTCAAATAAATTTGTTTATAAGTGTCTTACCAGGTTTCAATCACCCTGTATATATATATATATACATACTTTTGTTTTTTGCAGCTGCTATATCTTCTGCTCAGTCTATAATGGGAGTAACTCCATCACCTATTACAACTAGTGGTAATACTATAACTTCTAATCCTTTAAACTCTAATCAAACTGATAATTTAAATACAGGAACCAATCAATTAGATCCATCAACAATCATGCAGTTTAATTTACCTCCACCTCCCACACTTCCAAATTTGTCAGATTTTAGACTTAATGAACATAATTCAAGTATGAGTAATGAGAAATATGACTCTAGTACAACCCAAGAAGAAACAAGCAGTAATAACAGAAACCTTGAAATAGACAATAATCACATCCATGATAATAGAGAAAGAGGAGATAGATTTAATGAGAGAGATAACAAAAATGATCGTGGTAGAAGGATTGATGATAATCGACAAGATCCTAGAAATCGTAATAATAAAGGAGGAACTGAACAAAAAGAACGGAAATCATCTCGATGGGGCGATAGAGAAGAAAGCAATAATCAAAATCCAAATGAAGGATTAGGTATGATTCCACCTCAAAATATTGTCTCAATTGATAATATAAATGATATGATAATACAACAAACTAACCCATTACATCAAATTCTTAAACATGTGATTCAAGATAACATTGGAAATCCTGGATTTCAACCTGAAATTTTTGGGCCTAATGGACCGATTTCTAATCAAATGTTCAATATGCCACCACAAAGTTTCTCTCAAGGGTTAGGACAAGGTAAATTTTTAAAACTACTGCTTATATACTTATTAAAATTCAATGAAATATTTGTTAACCTTTTATTTTTCTCTCAGATGGACCAAGATTACCTCTTTTGGATGCTGGTAACATGAGAGGCAGGGGAACTTGGAATCGGGGTAATCGTAGAGGATTTAGAGGACCTGGTAGTTTTAACAATAATAGTGGTGGACCAGTGTGGGATTCTAATAATGAGACTAATTGGGAAAATAATGCTGGGCCTAATTGGGACAACAATGGTCCTCCCGTATGGCAAAATCAACAAAATATTCATAGAGGAGGGATGATGGGAAGAGGCAATATAAGACCACCTTTAATTGGAAACATATCTCGTGGGCGAGGTAGAGGTGATAACTAGTGTATTTTAAAGTATTATAACATTTATTTAATAGATAAAAATGAAATTTAATCAGTATACCTGAAAATTAAGTATATTTATAAATTGTGTTAAATTATTCTGAATACATCAGTGAGTACAATTTTTTTTATTAAATTACTTTAAAACTGTAATGTTTTGTTACCAAAGTTATCATTTTTGGGAGGATAAGGGTCTATTCCCTTTAAAACGAAAAATATTTCTATGATACTATTTTATTCTTTGACAAAGTTGCACAAACTTGAGAATTTTTAAAATGCCTAGAACAAAATGTATAAATACATATAATTCTCAGCTCTAGTAAAAAGAATAAATTTCAGCAAAAATTATTGATTTTTAGGTGCGCTCATAAACAATAAATTAATGCTTTTCTAAGTTAATTCAAAATCTTTTTATCTTTTACATTCAATAAAAATCTCAGTTCTTCACTCTCAATTAAAGTAGTTGTTACATGGGTATTATATTTTTTAACAAAGAATGACATCAGAAATTAAATTTAAATTTATTTTAAGAATTTATTAACATTTTTAAATATAAAGTTGACTGTTTTATAGCAATTGTAATTTTTTGGGACATTTCACTTTATTACGGAGATTGAGATAGATTTTTCAACTAGTTTAGCGCTGATGACTAAAACTAAATGAATGTTTTGTGATTTTTTTATGTATTGTGGAGGAAAATTGAAAAATCCAGTAGGGGCAAAATAATTGTCTACTGACAAAAAAAAATCGCCATATTAAAACCAATAGTTTCTTAACTACATAATGAGTCTAAAAGTTGTCTTTCTCTAATTTTACTTTATATATTTTGACTAAAAGAGTGATGATATCTTCATAGAATTTTTTTTTCAAAGAACTACATTAGAAATTATCTGTTGGCTCAATAAATTAATATTTTTAAAATAAATAAAAAACATGTTCCATGGTATCATGCTCAAACACAAATTTTTATATGATTTTATTATATGAATAGAAAAATTATTTTTATTTGTTCTAATATATTTATACTTGAGCATTGAAAATTGAATTATTATTTATTTTTGTGCTTAATAATAATTAAGCTTAAGAATGGTTTATTAAACAATCTCTATTTTAAAATCTTGAAACTAATATTTTTATTTCTAGATGTTTGGTTGGATAATAACTTATCTGGAGGAAGAGGTAATCGTGAAGTGGACAATTGGAGTGGCCGTAATACCCGAGATTCAGATAGATGGGGTCATGGTAGTCGAGATTCTGATGGATGGACAGGGAGAGGTAATAGACCATCATCTTGGAGAGCAGCTAATGCTGGACGTCGAAGAAATGATGATAGGGAAGGACTACCAAATCAAAAACGATGGAGACGGGATGAAAATCCTGATTGGGATGAGCAAAAACCTTGGAAAAGGGGATCAAATGAAGAAAATGATTGGTCAAATAATAAACAAGGACCCCCTTGGAGTAATAAAAAAGATGAAGGGAATCATTCAAAATATAAAAATCGTGAAAATAATGATGAACGTGCTAATAGAAGACCAAGCAAATGGAGTGATAAAGTAATTGACAATAACATCAAAGAAGATGGTTTAATATCAACAGATAATACTGAAGTTAAGGAAAATGTAATTCAAGAAAATTTACCAACAAGTAATTCTATGGACATAGATAACAATGAAGAAGAAAATTCAAATAATTTAGAACAGTTACCAGATAATCAAAAAATACAGGTATTTAACAAAAGTGAAATAAGATCAGAAAATTTTAATGAAGAAAATCATGATTCAAGTGAATTTAATAAAAAAGTGTGTGATAACGATCCTGATTATATTGAACAATATTCCACAGAAAATAATGACTTAAAACAGTCAGAAAGTCAATTAAACAATTTTAGGAATAATTATGAAGAATCAGATAGCTCATGTAAAAATCAATTAATAAATAATTCAAATGCGGATCAATATAATATTGAAAACCAAAATTATCAACGTAGTCAATTTGAATTAGAAAATAATGATACTTCTAAAAATGAGATTAATACACAATGTGAAATTGAATCAAGTAATTCTTACAAGAAAAATTATGCGAGTAATGATTTGGAATCTTTAAATCAACAACACGAGAGTATTGATACAGTACCACATTTTAATGAAAATGAGGTAGAAGAAAATGCTAGGGAATCACAAAGTAATTTCTTTTTTGGTTCTGATGTTCAACCTTCTATTGATGAAACTATTGAATCAAAATCTACCGAACTTTCTATTGCAGAATCTATAATTTCCCAAAATAGTGATGTGCTCAACACAAATATGTTGGACACAAATGATTTGTAAAATTTGAAAACATATATTGTAAATTATCCTTTTAAAATATTAGACGATAATTTGATTGTTAAAATTGTATATGGACTTTGAACAGTGCAACATAATTATTATTACTTTATTTCAACTTAGTAGCCATATCTTATTAATGATTTTCTAATTATTGAACAAGGTTACTGTTGAATTTTAGTAATAATATCTTATTTTTTAAATATTTCTTTGTTAAAATTCGTAATATTTTACATATTAATTTCTACTCTAAATGTAGCATGATACATAAAAATATGATAGCCCAATTTTACTTGTATCATATATTTTACCGTAAAATGAATAATTTTATTCATAAGTCAATTTTTATTTATTTATGAATATAAATTTAATAGAATTGAACTACAGGTCTAATAAATTATTTATGACAATTTTTAGTTGCGTGTAATTAACTTGTAATTAAAATATTAATAATAAATTATTGTGAAAAATTTAATTTACAAATTATTAAAATATCTTAGTTATTTCAAAAATTACTGTATACATTTATTATCATTAAAATTATTCGTGGTATTATATATATATATATATATATATATAAAATTTATTTACATAATATAAAAATAATTTTATACTAATGTATATATACAGAATGGAACAATTTTAACTAACAACTCATATAACTTATAATTTACATAACTTTTTTTTTAATCAATTTTTACATTATAACAATACTTAAAATATGTTTTATGTAATTATTCACAATTACATAAAATAATTTTTTTTTGAGATTTGAAGACAGCCATTTTATAGAAGTTTTAAAGAAAAATGTTTATACTGAATACTATTATTTTAATTAAGTCGTTACTACGTTTCTATAGCATTTTGATGTTTGTTAAATTTTGAATTTTTCTATGATTGGGTTGGGTATCAAATGTTAGTCCATATTATGTCAAGGACGGAAGTAAACACTATCTTATTACGTTATATACTAGATTGTATGCGATACCATAGAAAAATCGTTTAAAAATTAAAACATCAAAATGCTTTAGAAACGTAGTAATGATTGAATTAAAATAAGAGTTTTTAGTATAAAAATTTTTCTTTAAAACTTCTATAAAATGGCTGTCTTCAAATCTTAAAAAAAATTATTTTATATAACTGCGAATAATAACATAAAACATATTTTAAATATAGTTCTATAATGTAAAAATTAACTTAAAAAAAAGTATAAAATGTTTTGTAGATTATTAATCATATGAATTTTCAGTTAGATCTGTTCCACTCTGTATATATATATACACATGTAAATTTGTAAGAATAAGACTAAGTTTCTTTAGATACAACGATTTATATGTATTAAAAATACAGACTAAATTTTTATTTGATGTATTATTAATTAAATTAAATCGAGTACAAATTACTTATAAACCATAAGTAAATATTTTGAGTTTGGAATGATAACCGACTTATAGGAATGTAATTGTATTCGTGCGGAAAGTATCAATTATCTTATAGGCCCGCCAATAGATGCCCTCATCCTTACAAATTGTGGGGAGGGCTCTGACTATAACTATATCATTAAATTACGTATAAGTTATATATTTTTTTTCTCTAGCTAGAAAGACTTAATTAAGCTAGGTAAAAAATTTTTGACGTAATATCATTCCTGAGAACTATACTAGTCCATTTTTGGTAATTTAGAACACTAAGCAATTTAATTTATATTTTCTAATAAAACTATAACACTAATAACAAAGATCAAATTAAATGTTTATATCTACATTATCAGATACAAATATGTGATTTTGAGTTTAATCAAAAATAAAATTTATTATCAAGTACGTTATCTAAAATCATTTCAATACACGCATTATGTGTTGTTGTAACTATTGTTTATTAAATTTAATGGGCCATAATTTAATAATTTTTATATCGTAATTCATTAAGATAGACAATGGATTCATAATGGATAATCATAATAGTACCTTTCTTTATAATTTACGATAAAAATGATTCATTAAGTAATTTATAGAAATAGTTCTGAAATTAAAGTACAAAATCAATGAACATATTTTCATTCAATATATTCTAGAACATAATACTAGTATGAAATAAAATGTAATTTGAAAATGGATAAGGAATATCATCAAACACCTATTAATGAAGAATCTGAGTTAGAAAAATATAAGAAAAATTTGCATAGTAAGTATTTACCAATAGTTTAATAAATAAAGTCCTTATTTAAGTAGTGGAAAAATTTAACTACTTATAAACATTCTTATACAAAAAAAATTATAAAATTGCTTATATGTTTTTATAAAGGTTTTATTAAATATAACAAATTATTAATATATTTACTTACTATAGTTCATTTTTAAAAAATCCATTGAAGTTAATCTTTAATCTTAAATATAGTCATGAATAATGTATATAAAATTGATCAGTCTTACATCCTTATATTTCCCAAACTTAACATGCTACAAAGAATGGCAGATCTCTTTCACATGTTAGAGAGTCAAAGATGGTTCTTGGCTAAACTAATGATAGACAGGACAGGTATTATGGCCAGCTTGATCAAAGACCAGGCATCACCAGTAAGAAAATCACTAGAAAAATCTCGTTAGCACCCTGGTGATCAAACCCAAGACCCTGTGCTCTGAAACATGTTTATACCTGCTAGGCTAGGCCGATCCCTTATGAGTGATATAATATGTTAATTATAGTGAATATGCAAGTAGTTATAAAATTCTCAAAAAACAATTTTAGCATTCCTGAAAATTATTAGTAATATAATGTAAGAATAACTTTAGGTGAAGGATAAAATCATTTTAGTCCCCCATAATTTTTTTGAAACACCATCTATGGAAGAGGCTAATTTTATGTCATCCCGGCAGTACTTTTACTGAATAGATAACAAACATTTTTCAGTTAAAATATAATTAATTTTTAATTATAGATTTAGTTGTTGCTTATAAAAAGTTAACATTAGAAAAAAATGCTTTGGAAGCAACTTTAAAAACATCTGTCAGATTAGATATTCAAGATGATACATCTGAAACAGATGTGTCCGAGGTAAAAAGTTTATTTGAGTACTTTATTAGTAGTTAACATAATTAACTTTTATTCTTATTAATTTAATTATATTCCATTTTTAATTAGATATCAAATGATTCTCATCACTCACGTTTCATTAACCTTGTTAATACAATAGATATACTTCAACGTGATAAAAATGAAATTATAGAAAAATCAAAAGAAGAAAAAAACATCCTACTAACTGAAAAACAAGAGGTTAGTATAGTTAAATATTACACTGTATCTTTCTAAAGGTTTAATTAGACCTTTATTAATATAGGAAGATCCATTAAAGATTAAATAGTAATTTAATAAAAAAACTTTTGAATATCTTTAATTTTTGCAAAGGAAAAAATTGTTTGATTAAAAAATAGTATAATAATCTGTAGTTAGATCATTTTTTTTTATTCCTTCAAGGTTAAAAAATTTGAACTATTATTTTCATTAATGAAAACACCTACTTTTAATTTGATGATATAAGAAAAAAACAATTTTTTTCTTATAATTTTTTTATCAATTCAACCATTTGCATTTTAAAATCATTTAAAGATTTGAATTTACTATACAAATTAATCATTAATATAGTTTTAATATACTGATGTAATAATAATATGTTTCAATGGCTCATAAATTATTGGTATTTTTTTTGTTATTGTATGTGACAGATACGATAACAAGAATTGTAAATAAAAACTTATTTATGTGACATCATGAAAGTTAATCATGTTTTGAATTGCATTATGTTATTGTTTAAGTGATTCTATGTTTCATGTCCCTAATTTTGGTACTCATTTTTTTGACAATTAGTAAGGTTGTGCTTGACAGAGTTTATAACTCCACATACCTTACAGTTTAGCAGAGTACTATTGTTCATAAGATAACTTAACTTTTTAATTAACTTGTTGTTTACTTAATATTTCAAAATGTGGCCATTTTTAAAAATTAGGTTTAATTTTGTATAACAAAATACATCATAGAAATTTATTTATGCATTAGTACCTAAATTTAATTTCTCTTGAATATTTTTCTTAACTTGGTTAAGTCTATTTTAATATGTTAGTTAAAAAAAGAAGAATTGATGAAAATTTTGAAATTAAATTATACATAAACTTTTTATGCCTGTAAATAATTATTTGTTAATAATAAATAAAATAAAATTATATTAAACATACTGTATAAATGAAATATAAATAGTAACTACTAACTCAAACTATTTGTTATCTATTTGTTATAAATCATTTCAGAATGAAATAGACTTTAACTATGAAATTATATGCTGGATATAAATGCTTAAAAATATATTTAGTGTAATAAAACTTGATTTGTGCATAATTTTAATGTTTTAGCTAGAACAGTCTATTAAGGAGTTAAACATGAAAATGGACACATTGAAAAAACTTCAACGATTAGAAATGGAGAACATTAAAAGTAAATTTAACAAAGAAAGGTTACAACGTGAAAAAGAATTCAATGATCATGGTGTAATGATGAAAGAATTACAAAAGTTAATGTCTGAAGAACGAAAACAAAAGGAACATGCAGAATCTACAGCAGATCTATTACAAAAAGAAGTTGTACGTTTAAAGAGAGACGCTGAACTTTTTAAAAAACAATCTTTTGATTTGAATACAGAGTTACATGAAATAAAACAGGAATTAAAAAATAAAGATGAAGAAACTTCAAATTTATTGACACAATTAAGACAAGAAGTTAAATCTGTACGACAAAATCATTCAGTTGCCATATCTCAAGTAAAAATTTAATATTAAAATCTATTTAATTTAATTTTATATAATATGGTGTGAATTTATCAAAATACTTAGTTTTTTAAAACTTTATATCATAAAGTATATTTGGCATAATCAAGTGAAGCATATATATGTCTCAACACAGTTGGAATGCGGCATAGTTAGGATAAGTGTTGATGGTCTGATGATATAGTGATTAAAATCTCCATTATAAATATACTCTATTGCAAATCTGTAGATAGTGATTAATTATAAGAAGAAATTGTTTGATTCCAAAAGAAAAATAAATTCCTATTTCCTTATTTATATCCCAATTATAAGTTTTATAAGTTTTAAGTTAAATACATGAATAAATACTTATTATAAAAATTCAATTTAGTATAAAATTGATGTTTAATAATTTAGTATTACAAATTTTTATGTAGAAAATATAAAAAACGTCTATAATAAATCACATTTCAAACCATTTTAGCTTCGATGCGAACCTGAGAAGGTATTAATTTTACTGTGATGTGTTTCATTTGTTTTCTGTTACTACTTATTCTCAGCTCTCATTGGAACGATTTTGATGAATAATATGTAAAAAAATCACAAATTGTATCTAGTCGAAGACATTACCTTCGAAAATTGAAAAACATTTCTGTCATTCCCTGTAAATGTGGAAAATCTTCAAAAAAATTACAAATTAGTAAATTGGTAATTTTTGACATTTTCAACTATTTTTACTTAAAACTGATTCAATTCAAAATGATTTTTTTCTTCAAAAAATCAACTTTTTCAGCTTAACGTTTGAAAATTTTTAGGAAATACTCTTATAGATATATTAAATTATAGCTTATATAATATACTTTAATATGAAAAAAAGTCAAACATTATATAGTTATGTTTATATATTATATATATATATTGTGTTAAAATAGGTTACCGTATTCAAAAATATGCTATTTTTGTATTAAAATTTTGGGTTTTGTATTTTATTTTAAAATACCTTACAAAGGGAGTACATTAATTTCCATGAATATTGTATACATTTAATTGACATATGATGTTAAACTTATTTTAATTTTTTTGCTTCTTTTAAGTCTAGAAAAATAACTTAGTTGTTATCTAGTTGACAGTTATGGTAACAAATTCAAATTTTTTTACTACAAACTTTCACAAAGATCAATATTAAAAAACTAAAAAATAGGTTAAAAATTTCACTTTGCACTGATAATTTTAACATATTCAAAATTAAAATTAGTAATGAATTTAAAAACAAGTTTTTTTTTTTTTATATGTAAATTTTCATTTTTTACTAATTAGTAATAATATGAAAAAATAATAATAATAAGAAATAATAGACAAAATCTAATTGCAGTTTTGAAAACAGTTTGAAAAGTTATTTAGCAAGAAGTATATTTTTGATTCTGATGAAAGGTTCTTGTGGACCAATGTACTATTCAAAAGTAACAAAATTTTTTTTTTTTTTTTGAAAACTATTGCATCATGGTCTTTAAATTTTTATACACGTTAAAAGTAATGAAATAAATAACTAATTTATTATTTTTATAATTTCTCCGTAATAATTACAATATTAAATTTTTGTATATTAATTTCATACTAAATATAATTACTATAATTAATATTTTCACATATATTATACTTTTAAATCAAAGAACTACTAATCAGGATATAGGATTAAGGAAATAGAAATTCATATTGCTTTTGATATAATCCACTAATTTCTTAAAATTAAACACTATTTACAGACTACCAAATTAGTATCCCTCTTTTATAAAATTTACTATAACGAAGGGTCTATTTATGTTTTAGAACTCTACGTTCTAAGAGTTATACGGAGTTTCACCTGTCCACTTTCCCTAGCTACTATAACTTTATGTCAATGGAAGGCAATGAAATACTTGTTCCAACTATGGCACAACCCCACTGTGCTAACGTTTTTTTTTTATTTTAAAAAAGGAATTGCCATATTAATGAGGTTTTAGATTTTTATAAAAGTTACATAAATCTAACGTACATTGAATATAAATTTAAACTTATAATTAATATATTATACCTCCTCTAAGTTAAGAAAAACGACTTTAAATTTTTTAACTATCATAAATTGTATTTTTTTGCTATTAGTTCGCCGTATTAGTAATAATTCAGTCTATTATTCTCTAAATAAGAGGTTAGAGCCTCACTCGTTAAAAATACTTTTTTTTGTTTTTAAATAAAATTTGATACTCAACCCAATTGAACTGAACATACAAGACTGTTTAAAGGTAGACAATTAAACAACAAAAATTGATTATCTTTTTATATAATTTTTTTAATATTGTAATAGTATGATATCAACACTAGTATAGATCTGTCGAAGATAAATGAAAAATATTTGGTAATTCTGACCTTCATTAATTAATTGTAATTTTAGTTATAAAATTAAAATTGTAATTTTTCATAAGCCATTTATAAATCAAACATTTTTTATTTGGAAAGGACAGCCTCCTTTCAATATACTTATTAGATAGGCATTGTAAACTTCAATAATTCACCTTAAAAATATATATAATTAACATTTATATTTTTAAATCTTATTAATTTTTTTATGTTATATAAGGATACTTACTTCCCCTTCATGTATGCCTATATTGTTTAACCTAAAGGTACAAATAAAAACCAGCACAGTGAGGACAAGTATAGATTTTAATCAAAAACACTTTCATACAAATCTATAGATAGTGTTTAATTTTTAGAAAGAATTATTGAATTATTCTAAAAGTAACATTTATTTCCTTATTTATATCTTGATTACAATTTTTAAGATTTATATGTTTAGTATATTATAAAAATTAAATATAGTTGGAAATTGATGTTTAATAATTGAGTATTGTAAATTTTGCAAAAATTTATAAACTTATTATATACAGGGTGATTTATTCTTTTAACATAAGCCATTTGATTACTCTTAAAATAGTAATAAGACAATTCTTTTAGTTTATTAATTAATAATTAATAAAAGAATTCATTTTTGTAATTTTTAAATTTATATATCTATTACTTTATTAATTATTAAGTTATTATTTATTTCATCCCATATATCTTATAAGACAGTTAACATTTTTATTTTATAAGCTAGTTATATATGTATGTTGCTATTATAAAATAAAATTGACACCCTTATAGGTACAAAAAATTATTATAATTGATAATAAATTGATATGAAACTAAAATACATCAAAAATGATTTTCTTAATTGCTATTAAAAGAGTAACTTTGTATTTTGTTACCTCTTTATTTATCATAAGCCATTAATAACTAGAAAATTATTTTTGGAATGGGCAGCCTTTTTCCTTTTAATATACACATTGGATTGACATTAAAAATTGCAAAAATTCACCCTGAAAATATTTATAGCGCTTAAATAATTTTTATAGTTTTTTTTGTTAAAGGAGTGTTTAATGGGTTAATAACCCTTTATCTCCAATAGGACTATACAGTTTAACATAAAATGTGGCCAAATTAATTGAAAAAAAAAAATCAAAATGATAAATTTTAATTTTCTACAACTAAATAACATTTTTTGTTTAAATTTGAGGGTTGTTTACATATAAAATATAAGGGAAATACCTAAGGTATTTATAAAATTAAAATTGTTTTGATGCATTTTTTTTGACAAGGTTATGACAGTTTTAAGATAAAAAATTTTTAAAAATGTCAAATTTTACCGATTTAAAAAGTTGTATTTTTGTAAATGGGATTAGTTATCTCATTAGATAAGGATCGAGGTAAATTATTTCAAGTTTTAAAGACCTTGTCTTCAACTAGATATAATTTGTAATAATATGATGTATTGTTGAAATAAATCGGTCTGGTAAGATCTTAGAAAAAGTGGCGACAAACACAAACAAAATAACACATCATAGTAGAATTAATACCTTCTCAGTTTTTCATGGAAGCATGCTGAGGGCATATTATCCTCCAAACCACCACCTAAATACAGTCCTACATATTTGCATATATTCATGTGCGTGTGTTATAGTAATATATTCCTTAAAGTTTCTATACTTAATAAACCAATGAATATCGTTTATAAACATTTTTATGGAAATATTTTACTATTTGTGTCAATAAATTTAGTGATCGAAATTTGATTATTTTTAAAAATTATAATGAATATACTAATTTAACTAAACAATTTTTTAAATATATCATGATTTTTTATTTTGTAAAATGAATATGTTGTATTTTTAATTTAAAGTTTTATTTATTTTCAGTTCAGATAGATATAATAGGATAATTGTAAATGCATTTTTTTGATTAATGCACAAGATTTTATTTCGAATTTACATTAAATATAATATTATTACATATAAAGACCAGATCTTTTCAATATAAAATCTGCGAAATATTCTAAGAGAAGGAATGTATTTACAATTACAATTACAATTATAAATTCATTTGTATTTACTTCTTTTTATACTAAATAACTGTTAGAAATGATTTTTAAAATACTTCAATGTTAAATAATATTGTCAATGAGAACATTATTTATACTATAGGAGCAGACAAGAGCAAATGAAGCAGAAAATCGTTCTAGAGAGTTAGCAATAGCTCATGAAATTAGAGTATCAAATTTAGAAATGCAATTGGCTGAATTATCTAATTCAATTGGTGTATATGAAAAGATTAGACAACAAGATGAAGAAACTATAAAAACATTGAAAGTAAGTATTTCAGTTTATATTAATAGAGTAAGACTAGCTTTAACGAAGGTTATTCAATATCCAATAAAAAAAATCTTTATTTGAATAGAATGTAGTTATAAGTAAAATAAGTAATTATAATAAAATTAAATGATACATATTTACCTGACTAACAATTAATTTTTTTTTTTGATGATTTAATAAAATTGCTAATATAATTTTCAAATAATTTTAGGATCAAATAAAAAAATTGGAAAAAATTAATCATAATGAAATAGATTATTCTGTATCTGAAATAGTTGAAAAATTCAAATACTTCAAAACTCTTTTATTAAATTTAGCTAGAACATCTGAAGTTCCTTTAAGTATTGAAGGTAATCTTTTAACGTTAATGTATTATTGTATTATGAATAAAAAACACGTGTAGTTTGTAAATTATTTTTCATTTATTAACTATAATACTGAACAAATAATTCTTTAATATATTGTTATAATATCACACTTTATTAATTTATTTAAATAGTAGTGTATTTTATTAATTGTATTAAAGTAACTTAGACAGAGAGTTGAGCTGAGAGTAAAATTTTTTAAATATTTTTGTACTATGTAAAAATCTTTTTGAAATAATATTGCATCTGATTAAACAAATGAGAGGTGTTTGATTTTTTTGTTATTTTATTTATTGTCTTAACTTAAATGTTAAAACTAATTATTTAATATTAAATTGTTTAATAATCTGGGTAACCATTTAATTTAAATTAATATGAGTATTATTAATATTGAGTGTCTAAGTTTCTTTACAAATTATTTTGGTATAATTTAATTATAGTAAAATGAAATTTTTTTTTTTTTTTTAAAAAAAATATCTTCAACTTTTCACTTTTTATCAAAAATATTTAAAATAATTTTATTGGTAAATAGTTTAGATGAATTAATAGATATTATAACACATATTTGGTTTAAAATAATTTAATAATTTATTATATTATTTTTTTTAGATATTTTTTTAAAAGACTTAGATTTTAGTATATTTGGCAATAAATTTAAATACAGAAATAATATAGAAGAACAAAAAGAGAGTAATGCAATTAAAGAATTACCTCATCTACCAGACAATTATATTTTATTAAACCAGATAAAAAATTTAAAACAACAAGTTTCTATATTGCAGTCTGAACGTGACTTATTAGAAAAAAAATATAAAGATAAGATAGAAGAGGATACAGATGTAAGTTTGATTGGTTTTTATATTAAATTTGTAAAAATTACTTGTGTTTTATTATAGAGGATTATCAGTTTATCATAAACAACTCAATTATGTTCAAAATAAATGAAATATTGAAAAACAAATTTTTATTTTTTTTTATTTACATATATTTTTTGATTTATCAGCTACTAATTTTTCACTCCTTATCTCCACTCAATAATTTATATTGTTTATAACTTATACTGATAAATAAAAAAATATATGTAATTTAAAAAAACCCAGCACAGGGGGGTCGCGGCACAGTGGTGACGTGGCATAGTTGGATCAAGTATAATGATATCTGACAGTGACAGATATCATTATCATTGATAGTGATTAAAATCACTATCAAAAAAAACGCTTCGATGCAAATCTTTAGATGGTGTTTAATTTTAAAAAATTGGTGGATTATTCTAAAAGCTTCATAAACTGCTAGTTCCTTATTAATATCCTGATTAAGATAAAGTATGTCGAATGAAAAAGAGATTATTAAAAAATAGTATTTCCCATAAAAAAATTATATTGATCAATACACTTTTCAACAAGTTATAGCATTATAAAGTTAAAAATGTAAAAAATCAAATTGAGAAATTTCACACAATAATAGCATTTTTTTTTTACATAATAAAGTAGATTACATTAGCTTTAATTTAATATATATAGAGAAGTGTCAGACTTTCCGGAACACTTTCAAAATTTAAGTTGAAAAAATTAATTTTTTGTAAAAAAGTTGTCATTTTGAATCCCCCCCCTGTAGGCAGGTAAAAAGTCAGATTTATAAAAAAAATATACCAAATGATAGGTAAAGACATCATGCATCTACAAAAAAAAGAATTATATTGATCCATACATCTTTCAAGAAGTTATAGCATTATAAAGTTAAAAATATAAAAAAGAATTTTTATAACACTTTCAAAATTTAAGTAGAAAAAGTTCTACTTTCTACATGCATTTTTTTAGATTTGAACCCCCCTCGTATATAGGGAAATGGTCGGATTTAAAAAAACAGTATGTCAAATGAAAGATGTATATGAATACTACTCCTCATGAAAAAATTGTACTGATCCATGCATTTTTCAAAAAGTTATAGCATAATAAAGTTAAAAATGTAAAATACAAAATCGAAAATTTTCACACAAAAATAATTTTTAAAAAAGTTACGGCAGTTTTTAGTAAAAAAAATTGAAAAAATTAGCCATTTTTAAAGTTGTATTTATTCGGAGGTTTCCCCCATTTACGGGGAACGAGGGAATTTTTTTCAATTTTTGAGGGTAATGTCTTCGACTAGATACGATTTGTGATCTTTTGACGTATCATTGAAAGAAATCGGTTCGGTGAGAGCTGAGAAAAAGTGGTAACAGACACAAAAAAAAAATAAATAAAAAAACACATCTTAGTAAAACCAATACCTTCTCAGCTTCGCATCGAAGCTAAAATCAAAAATTTCTTTTTCAGTACTGTATTTATTTTGAGAGTAATTGTGTGGTTTATAATAAACCGAATACTGTATATTTATCAATTACTTAATCTATTATAAAAATTGATCACTCATGGCTAATATCATTTAAAATTTTAAATATAAATTAAAAACTTAAAAATATTAAGATTATTGTATTTTTGTAGTGGTCAGTATTTTATTTTTAATACTTTTATTATATATTAATATTTTAAACATATTTTTTATTTATTTTATTTTTTAAGTATAAAAAACAATATAAACAATAGTAAATATTAAATTTTTATAAATTTTTAACTGGCAATTATAAATGGATATTTTAGGAAAGTTTAAGTTGGAAAGAAAAGTATATTAAAAATGACTTAGATTGGCAAAAACGTGTATCATTTTTGGAACAACAATTGTTAAGACAACGAGATAAAGCTCAAGAAATGGTCTCTGAAAAAGAACAAGAACTTAATTCTCTTCGTGAATTGTTACAAAATACTAAAATTAATAGAAAATTTTCTCATTCATCTACCGGTTCTAGGAAAGAGGTTATTATATATTTTTTTATCCCAGTCAATTTTTTTAATAGTTCAATATTATATTTTAATAGTTCCAAGAATATATAGATGATGAAACTACTAAAAAAGGATCTCATTTGCTTCATTATGCTCATGAATTAGCATTGAAAGATATGGAAATATGCAAGTTCAGGAAGTCCAAAAGTAAATTGGAATCTAAATATAGAGATCTACAAAAGAGTACAGCTGACATGCAACACCAATTTAAATTTGATATTGATAGATTAAATCAGGAACTAAGAAGGTTTGTATCTTAAAAAAAAGCGACTGCAAAAAGTTTTAAATTAAAATTATTTACACCCAAATTTTGGCAATGTAGAATAATCAAATTTCATTTATATTTTCATTCAATTATATTTTAATAAGTTTTCCATTGATAATTACAATATTTAAATAAAATTGTTTTTAGATATAGGATTGACAGAGTTAATTTATAAATACAATATTATAAAGTCATTAGCTTATTGGTAACTTCTTTCAAAATTTAAACTTAAAAATGTATAAATAACATAAACATATACTTTCTATAAATAAATAATTTATTTTAGTAAATTGATCAGTCTTTTAATGTATAATTGTTTGAAATAAATATTTATTTTTTTTTAAATAACAGACCTTAAATTTTGTGAATACATAATTTATTAATTTCATTAATTTGCAACCTATAATAAAAATTCAAAGTTTTCTTTTTTTAGTTAGTTAGTTCTTTTACTTTAAAAAAATCAATCAGTCTTTTTATAACTCTTATAACATTTGTATCAACTAAAATAGTATATTTTGAAAAACTAAACAAATGATAAATAAACATAAATCTAAATGGTTTAGGTTAGAGACTTGCAAGACAAGAGAAGGAGCAAATTTAGAATACTTAAAAAATGTCACTTTAAGTTATTTTCTTACTGCAGATGATAAAATTAGAAGACATTTGGTAAATGCAATTGCAGCAGTTTTAAAATTTTCAGATAGTGAAACGCAGAAAGCTTTGAAGAGCTTAACTTAAGGCAAATAATTTTAAAATGCAAAGTTTTAAGAAGATCTTATGTCAGCTATTATTTATTTTGTCAAACTGAAATCTTTTTAAAATTATTATTTTTTTTATTAATATTTGAATAAATTATTGAAGTCTTTATTTATTTGATTACTAAAATATATTGTGATAGATCTAAGAGTTTTTTTAATGAGTAATATTGGTCTCTTAACTTTTGGTAAAAAATATTGATTTTTTCATAACATAAAAAATAAATAAAACTAATGGTATAAGGTTAGTTATTTAATTTTTTTCAATTTTTCCATAAGATTTCTATAGTTTTTAATATTATTTACATTACAGTAGCTCTGGTAGTAATGTATGTAAACATGTCAGTTTCAAAACCTGAATACCTCAATATTCTTAATAAGAATCAGCATAAGAAAAACAACACACTTTAAAAGTTAATGTTTTTATAATTAAATATCTAATCATTTTATATTTAAGTTGCCTATTTCATTAATAATAAGGTGATGAATATGACAGTTTCCTAATAGATTAAAAAAAATTATGCTTAAAAGTTTTGTAGAAATAGCTTATTTTTGTCAACATCGTGACTCTTAGTGCTATTATTTTTTTAAACAAAAATTCATAAATAGACACTTTATAATCAATAATAATGTTAAAAATATTAAAATTATATTAAGTAGTAATTTTTTTACCATAAAGTTAGGAAAGAGGAAAGCAGTTAAGAATTTTAGGCAAATATACAAAAATTATTCATTTAACATACTTGTCTGTTATCTAATTTCTCGATGTTTAATTAACTGTTTAAATTCTTAAATACAATTTTCTTTTCAACTTCACATTGAGTTTATTTAAAATGAATGGAAAAACAAAATATAAAATTTGAAAAATAAACTATATATTTAATTTAAAAAATAAAAAGTGAAAAAATTGGACAACATTAACAATCAATACAAAATAAACATAAAGAAAAACTTATTTATATTTCATACATAATTTAGATTATAAAACATTTCGTATTCTTTTAAGAGCCATTTTTGCAGCAGCTAACTTTGCCTCTTTTTTATTTTTACCTAAACCAAACATTGTCAACTTTTGACTATCAACAAAAATTTCTAATTGTATCATAGTCCCTAGTCTATGATCAGATGCTATTTGAGAAGTAGGTGGTTTGCTAAATATTGTAATAATTAATGTTAATTATAAAAGTTAAAAATGATTTTCAAAATTTACAAACCTGAATGAAGGTTGGACATTGGTTTCATGTAAAATTCGAATAGGGTTTTTTGGTATGTTAGTTGAAAATTCCTCTACAAAATGTATTAATTCATTAATTACTTATAAAACATGATGATATGATACAAATTTTTATTAATCACTACATAGTAATTATTACTAATAATTATAATTTATAAAGAGATTCAAATGTCTTTATGTGTTTATAAGTTAATATAACTTGGCAATTGTTTAACCTAGATTGATCATTGAAAATTCACTACAAAGACTACAATTTTGTCAAGTTTATTTTTATTATTAATAAATTTGTTGTAATAATTTATATAGTATAATCAATCTGTGACAGTATTGCACCTTACTTTTTAGTTTTTTTAATTGTTTAGTGTGATATTTTTAAGAACTTATGAAACTAAATTCTACACGAAGTTGGGCTTTCAGTACCATAAGTACTTCAAAAACTAAATAATTATAGCTGACTCGTTTATTGACTTAGGAATATGAAGTGCTTTCTGTCACAGGTCGAAATTTTATTACAGCTTGATTATAATGCATAAATCATTATTATTAATCACCAAACACATTTATTGGTATCAGAAATAAACTTGACAAAATTTCTTTGAATGATTAATCTAAGATAAGCTGTGCCAAGTTATATTAATTAGTAATTAAATGAAAGCTTTTGGAATCACTTGTATTACTATTTCAAAATTTTGTGTTAAAAAATTTTAGTAGTGTATATATTTAATATTTTAAATATTTTTTTGTGAAAAAAATATGATACAATTCACCACTAACTTTTCATTTGAGTGTAACATTAATAGTTAATTTTACTTTATTTTATCAATGTTATTAGTAAATGACAAATAGAATTTAAAAAGAAAACTAGAGTGACTTACTAATTTCTTGTTCCATTAATTTGTAACAAAATTGCCAAACAAATTTTAAATCTCTACCACAATCTAAATAAATAGCAGCTATTAATGACTCAAATAAATCTCCCAAAACTTTTGGAACATCAATAGCTTCAGCAACCATACAATCTTTTTCTTCTAATAAATATAGTACCTAATTATTTAAAAACATGAAAAGTATTTTTTATTATAATTTAAAAATAATTTTATAATAAAAATTGATCACATGTGACTAATAGTATTTAAAATTTTAAATATTAATTTAAAACCAAAATAATTAAAAAAACCAGAAACGCATACAATAGAAAGTGTTTAGTTCTGATGGTTTTATTGCCAAAATACATACATGCAATTTTTTAATATGTTTTCTGTTTTTTTGAGTTAAATATTTTTTTATTTTTAATAAAATTAATTTGCAATAGTTTTACCTCTTGACCAACTTGATGGTGGTTTTTTTCTTGATGTTCATAAAAACGATCAATTGCTTCAGTTAACTTTATTGATTCAGATAATAAAAATCGATGTAATCCGATGCGAGCACTTAAAGAAGCAAATGTAATATTATTAACTAATGATGATCTTATGTCAGTGATTTCACCTGGTGATTTATTAGTACAGTGTTCAATAATATAAGAAGTAATCAAAAAATCTAAAACGGTATATAAAATCATTATTTCTTAAAACTATATACTATAAGAAAAATAAAACAAACCAAGTATAGCATCTCCAAGAAATTCAAGTCTTTGGTAACATTCAGAGAAACCCAATACATGAGTTGGATGAGTTAATGCCATTAACAATAGATGTTTGCATTTAAATTCATAACCAATTCTTTTTTCTAATAACTCATAGCCTGGTACTAATTGTGACATATTCATATCATCAACTGTATTTTTTAAAACTACTTTAGGTTTATAAACATTTACAAATTCAGATGGTATTATACCAAATCCACTAAGAATTTTAAATCCTCCTTCTAAACCACAATGCTAAATAATAAAGAATTAAAATTTTTACTTATTATAGGAATATTTAACTGGGATAGCTCTTACATATACATAAGTTCCAATTAATGCTTCTACACTGTCAGCAACCATTTTATCAGAAATGGACTGTTTGTTTAAGAATATGTCAGATTGAGAGTAACCAAATTTAGGTGAAACTTCGGTATCATATAATTCTTTGAATCTGACACATTCATTTTCTATATGACTCCAAGTATTCTCAGATAACTCTCCTAAATAATTTTTTATAAGTTAAAATATTTAATAAAAAATTGTATGTTATACATGTGTATTTAGCGTATATGTTTTCAAATTAGACAGTTATGAAAAAGTTAAAAAGGTAAAAAAAAAAAAAGAGGATTTTTATTTATGGATCTCCAGCATTGGTAGTTAGTTGTCACGGAAGAAAGGGATGGAGACTTCAATAATGAATTAATCTCTCGCTCAGTAATCTCAAATCTGAAATTACTATGTATTAGATACTGCTACATTATCAAATAGGCTACACCATCCCTTTGATTCAACCAAGTACCTTAATTAAACTAATCTAACAGTATACATCTTAATTTACTTAAAACTATACAACTAAATGTCTTTTACAGTTCATGGTGTAATCTAATAACACTATACTGTGATCATTTTTTTGCAATAATAGTCTATATATTTTTTTATGTGTTGCTAATAATTGTCATATATTATGTTTATGGTACCATTAAACCATTAGTACTTTAGTATTATTTTTTGTTTATTTTTGTATAAGTTTGTGCATAATATTGTACATTAAATATGGAATGTTATGCAAAATATATTGAGCCAAATATTACATGTGAATTTCACAAAATCAATTGTCATTTAAGTAAAATAATATATTCATTATTTTGATAAAAAATTTAATATTATTTATAATTGGTAATTATAAATTTTCTATCTTATAATACATTATTGTTTAAAAGTAAATATTTTATTATAATTGAGGATATTAGCCAAAATATTTTATATATTGAAAATGAAAAAATCTTCCCTTTTATTATTCTATAGTAGTTCATCTTTTGCCTGGAGATTATAGCTATCATCATAAAACTAAATTGGTCATCTCAATTATAATTTCATCCGTCACATGATCATTTATAGTACACCTTCATTTTAAGATCAATAGCATAAAATTAATGTTAAAATTCATCTATTACCTGATAATTTATCGTCTCTTGGAATAACAATTTGGTATAAAACATCAGATGGTACTTGGTCAAAAATATTAATATCGCTTACCAACTTTTCAGGTACAGAAAAACAAGGAGGTACCCAGTCCATTGATGGTTCAAAAGTATTAACCTAAATATATTTAATAAACTATTATAGTGTTTATGGTTTGAAATAAAATTTTTATATTATATTTTCTACCGTAATATAAGATCCAAGATTAATATTTCTTCCAATATAAAATAAATTTCTATTGCCCACTAATTTCATTTTTAAATCAGTGAGAACACCTTCATTTTCTTTTTCAAAACTATCAAACAGAACCAACGAAGTGGCAAATTTTAAGAAACTATCACCAAATGTTTCCATACACTCATAATTAAATATATCACTTGTACAAGAAGGTGTTATAGCCTATTTAAATAAATAAAAAAATATATATACAGTAATTTCTTAAATACTTAAAATAATTTCAAATGTATAAAAAAGATATTTATATATGTATAAAAAATGTTGGATAAATAATAACTTTAGGTTAAGTACTTGTTGAGTTACAAGCATTTAAATACATAATGGGTATTAAATTAAAAAACTAAATAATAATAATATGCTTTTAACTAAGTCTAAGAATGTAAAAATTGTTAAAAAAAAAATTTGGAGCAAAATTTTAATTGTATCAAAAGTTATGACTTGTCAATTAGATTTCAGACACATTATGTTTATATAAATAGGTGGTCCATAAGTAAAGAAACAGGGTTTTGTTGTTCTCATTGTTTGTAACAACTAACCTATTTCCTTATTTTTTGAACACTCTTTATAAATATAATTTACCTTTAAAATATCACATTGTCTTGGTCCAACTGTATAATTTGAAATACATTTTGATAATGATTCAAGTATTGGCGCTTTATTCTTTGCAAAATTTAATAAGTTAATCTTACTTAATACAGTCTTCATAATTGTTTTAATTTCATCCTAAAATAAATATTTGTTAAAACATACTGTACAAATTTTTATTGAATAGCTAGCTTTATAAGCATATCTGATAAAATAATTTTCAATGTACATTTTTTTAATATGCACACAAATATTTATTATTAAATAAATACTTTAAAAACTTCTAGTCATTTTGCATTTTATATTACACTATATGATCTATCAAATTAAATATAAATATACAAGTGAGTCACAAAGATATGACAAATCCAAAATCTATTTTTTTAATAATCATTTTGCTGTAATTTTTTTTCTTATTAGTAATAAATAATAAAAAATATGTTTTGAACGTTGCCTAAGAAGGAAATAATTATTTTACAATTTTTTTAATGAAATGATAATTGGATATATTTTTGTGACTTACCTCTATATATAGCATGGGAGATTAGAATGAAATGATGTTAATATCAAATTAAAAAAATGTTATTAAAAATTATTATTTGATAGAGAAATATGTACATAAAATAAAATTACAAAAGTTTCAAGTTTTAACAATTTAGAATGTTTTAAGTAATAAGTATAGTATATTTAAGTTTATTACATTAATCCCATCTCTCTTACAATTAATAAAATTTAGCAGAATCGAGTAAAAATAATAAAATGATTCTAAAATAATTGTTTGATTTAATTGTATAAAACATAAACATTTAAAAATAGATAATTAAAAAAAAAATTGTGTTGATTGTTTTATAAACAATCAATACAATTTTTTTCCTTTAATTTTTATATATAAAATTTAATTAATTAGTAATAAGAAGCAGTATTAAAGCAATAAACATTTCAAGCTATTTTATACATTATTTACTGCAAAAGATACTTTCGTTTTATAAAATGTTAAAATTACAATAATTATTGTCTAGAAATTTAATTGCTTAAAAGCCCAAAGCAAATAAACTATTCAAAATTACATGTCACCATAAAAATATTAAAAACCTTAAGCATTTGTATTGCAATGCAAAATATATTAGCTTTTTATATCCATGTTGTTATTTACAATATATAAGCATGTACTGTGTAAAACAAAGCATATAATACAAAGTACAATATATGTACCACTTGATCATTATTTGGATTAATTTCATTAAAATCCTTATCTTCTAATTGATTTTCTGAAGTTTCTAACTAAAATAACATAATATAAAAATATAAATTACACTAAACTATCTATAAATATAAACAAATTAATAAGTATTAAATCAAGAATGTTATTTACATTTGTGCTATTTTTACGTTTATTAGGAGTGTGGGATACAGATTCTCCAAAAGCTCTTATGTCGTTCTTGTAAAAAATGTTATTTTAAATTAATCCAGTTTATTCAAATTATACACAAAAATATTTTATAATTTTATTTTAAATAAATTATATGATTTTAGATTTTAGCATAGATATATATTTGATAAAAATTTTTGGAGGCTAGAACAATCCAGTAAAGTAAAAAAACAGGGTAAAGGCTTACACATTTTAATTACAAAAAAATTTTCAATTTATAGGTGCATAAAATTAAACCTTTTTAAGCATCCCTTCAATATCACCTATAATTTTTAATATTTATTTTTGTACTTAAAATTTACATATAGTATTTAAGTTTCTAATATCTCCTTAATGAGCTATTGCTTATAATAGAAAAGAAGATTAGTGTAAATATAAATATTAGTGATGCTTTATCATAAACAGAATTGCATGACTTGAAAACTGTTTTAAGCAATTTATTTTATTGAGGCATAACATTCCAAATTAATGCAAAAGAACTATAAAAAAAGGTCCAATGTCGATATTATATTAATAAAATAGCTTTTAATGTTATTGTTTTTAGTTTAAAAGCGTGATATTTTAAGTGAAGACTTAATTCTTATTTGTTCCAAAAATCTATTTACATAAATGATCTATGAAAACATTTATAATAGTATGTTTGATATTAGTAAATATTGAATTGTAAAGATTATACTAAAATATGTCAATTTGAATATTGGAGTATATCAATGGTTAAAGGGCAAATTGTCATAAACACTAATAATAAATTTTTTCAATACAGCAAAATAAAAATATTCATTACATTAATTTTTCTACCATAAAATTTTCTATGATCTATTTATCTCAACTAATTTGAATGAAAATAATATTGAGTAATTTTAATGAAGAATAATATTATCATATAAAATAGTATATTAAAAAGTTAATTTTCAATAATGTAACGCTTACAACAGTTAACGTTCTAAAAATCAACATTATAATTGTTGATTTTCTATCTAAAACATACATATATTAAATCAAGTGGACCAAAGGAAAGCAAATAAAAGAAGCTAATTTTTTTCATTATTTTAAGTCTCTAAAATTTTTGTATACATTTTCCATAATAGTTTATTGAATTATTATAAAATTTCCCACTATCCATGTACAAAAAAAAATAAAAAGTAGCACAGTGGGGACGTGATATAGTTGGTATAGATGATATCTGACTTTGATTAAAATCACTATCACAAGAAACGCTTAAATGGAAACCTGTACATAGTGTATAATATTAATAAATTGTTGAATTATTCCTAAAGCAATATCAAATCCTATTTCCTTAATTATATCCTGATTAGTAGTTCTTTGATTTATAAGTATAATATATGAAAAAATACTTAGTAATTTATAGTTTTTAATTATATTAATTAAACTTAATATAAAATTGATATTTAATTATTTAATATTGTAAATTTCACGAAGAACTAAATAAATATAAATATTAAATATAAAATTGAACATTGTAACACACAAATGTTTTTTAACTATGGCAGACATTTGATTTTAGAAAATAAGTTGTTGGGACAATTTTTTTTTTAGTACATAACATAAGGTTTATTTTACATATTACATGTGTTTGAAACTCAAAGTACTTCCAGAATATTTTTAAAACTTAAGCTAAAAAAATTAAATTTTTGAGCAAAAGTTGCTATTTTGAATCCTCTCGAGGGTAAGTAAAAGGTTTTTCAAAAAAATTATACATTTAATAATTTAAAGGGAAATATATAAGATTTTTATATGAAAAAAAACATATTTTGGTACGTTAATTTTTTCAAAATGTTATGACAGTTTTAAAAAAAAAAGTTTAAAAGATATCAATAAAAATCATAATTGATTTCCCCTATTTTCAGGGAATGAGAAAATTTTTTTCAATTTTTAGGGCAATGTTTTCAATTAGATACAGTTTATGATCTTTTGTTGCATTGTTGAAAGAAATCAGTCTTGTGAGAGCTAAGAAAAAGTGGCAACAGACTCAAAAAAAACATATATAATTAATAACTTTGCAGCTTCACAATCAAAGCTAAAAATAAGGAAATTCATTTTGATTTTTTAGGGTAATTCCTTGAATTGGAGATTATTTGGGTTGTTTTAGTGTATATCCGAATAATATTAGTCCAGAAGAATCTGCTTGTATAGAGCACATGACAATTGTAAACAGACATAAAAACAAATAATAAATACAATACCTACTCAGTTTGACATCAAAATCTTTTTAAAATAAGATTGTTAAAAATAAAAATATTTGTATATAAATATACTGAGATTCTAATTTTCTAATATTTATATATATTATAGATTGTATTGTAGTTGAAGTTGTTTTCTATAAATAAAATTTTATGATTTATAAACTTAGGTATAATGTTTATTATGGTAAGCAAATCATTAAATTACCTAGGTGTAATTATAGACTGAGACATAAAATTTGTATCCCATGTCAATGTAAAAAAGTCCTTAGATGTCTGACAATCTATGCGGATCTAAGGAACTACAAAGATTAATAGTTATCTTTTTTTGGTTGCTCTACTATCTAATGTGTTGCAAATATAATTTTATCACTCTCACAGCCCATTTAGGACAATAGTGACAAAAAGAAAGTTTCTTGACCATGAACCATATATTTTGGTACAGGTGTTTAGTTCATTACCTAGTAAATGTCGATACCCATGCAAGAACCTCAAACCCAAGAGTGTCCACTAGGCACTATTGCAATTTTGATTTGGCCACACCATCCCTCTTTCGTTGCAAATATTATAACATTAAAATATATAATAAATATTGAAAATTTGTAGTAAAATTTACAAACCATAGTACTCTTTTCATTTAATTTTTTTTTTGGATTCATAAATGAAATGTAATTTATGATATCTAATGCAGTTGTATTTTTTTGTCTTTCAATGTCAATAGGTAGATCCTTCAGTTTCCAGTCATTTACTTCATTAAGAGAATTTTTTAATAATTTCATTGTTTCACAAAGGGGCAAAATTGTTTCTACTTTCTTCTTTTCCATATTTCTGGATCCATAAAATTTGTCAACCTTCAAAGATTCTGCTATTGATATAAATATATTTATTATTATTTATAAAATTAGATATTATATTTTCTTAATAATTCATAATAGTTAAACTTATTTTTAAAACATGTAAACAAATCAAAAACTTACAATAGTTATTTTTTTTTGTAAAATTAAAACCACATATTTTATTAATTTTTTCAAGTAGATCTTCAGCAAGTAATAACTGATTGAATCGATATAAAATGGTTGGTAACATTAATGCTTTAAGCCAATAAACTGATGGAAACTGGTGCCACATACAAAATTCAGGTATAAGTATTTCAATAAACTCATTACGTTTATCAACTTTACCATTATGAATTCTATTGAAGTATAAAATTATAGAAATTAATACATTTTTAAAAATATATTTTAAAATATACCTTTTTTAAAAGTTATTGCTTATACTAGAAATAATGGGAAAAACTATGTAGCCCATTGCAATAAAATCAAAATCCAATACCTTTGCAATGTGTTACTGACTGAGATAAAATTAAAAATTTATATTTGTAATATACCAAACAAATTAAATTAGTCGAAAATAGATTGTTAACATGCTTATATTAGTTTCACTTGTATGTGTGTTGTGTGATGTGTGTTTGTAACTTTCCACGCGGCACGTGTTATTATTCTCGTGTATCCCGTCTTCTAGACTAGACGTCGTAACGCATTCACCCCACCCTGCTCACCAATCGCCGGCTACACTAATCCTGTATAATTTTATATTTTTGGTTTTCATACCCTTATTCGCGTGAGTGACATTAATTATATATATATAAACAAATTTTTATTTTGACTGACCAATACCACCTGCATGTAACTTACGTATATATATTTATATATTCCTACCGCTGCTGCAGCCGTTTATACCTTAGGTATAACGTTCCCCACGCCCACAAAACAAGGCTATACCTAGTGCATGATACGTTTACGTACTTATGTCGCCTTACTATATATATGTATGTGTATATATATATTCCTACAGCCGCCGCATATATCTCGCGTACAACGATACCCCGCGCCCCGCCCACCCACAAAACACAGCTATACTTCGTGCATGATAAGTAGCTTTACATGTATATATATATTCTAATTACTATTAAAATTTATATATTAACATGCTTTATTCTCATTAAGAGATATTAAGTGTATTCATCCCGATTATAAAGGATGATTCCCGTATCGTCATTTTTCGTCACTACCTCAATATTCCGAGAGTGGGTAATTTACGCGCCTGCTGCTTTCCTTGGATGTGGTAGCCGTTTCTCAGACTCCCTCTCCGGAATCGAACCCTGATTTCCCGTTACCCGTTACAACCATGATATTGATAGTAACTACTATCATAAATTGAAACTAAAAAGTAAAAAATAAATAGTTTAAAAAAACACGCTTTTAAAGCAAATCGAACTAAAAAGTTAAAAATAAGTTTAAAACAATAATGAACGAAAAATACTAGTATTATTGTTTTAAGCAAATTTAAAAAAATTATTTTTAACTTTTTAGTTCTATGTGCTTTAAAAGCGTGTTTTTTGAGTTTTTTTAAACTATATTTATTTTTACATTAGATGACTCATTTTACTAAATAAAAGTAGTATAAATTAAGCAATGATTGTAAAACAATTGTTAATTTTATTTAATGAAATATACTTTTTCATTTCTAAGTATTTTACAACATAATGTATTACTTACCTAGGTACTATATAATTGATTTTTTGTACACCTAATGATTTAACTTGAATTAATGGTTGATCTGGATTTGTTACTTTTATAGAATACTTATCTTGAAAGTAATCTTTGTACGTATCATAATTATCTGAAGGAAATATGCTTTCAGGTGACATATCTTTGTGAACTTCGCTAACAAGATACATCTTGAAATTTTAATAAAAAATTGTTTTTAAGTTTTAAATTGATGATAAATCTTAATATGCTTTAAAATGTTTAAATAATCTAACAATAACTTTATAATAATTTAACTTTCTGTGAAAAAATCTACCCTTACTTGGATAGGAGTTATATTTCTATACCATGGTGAAATTATATATGGCGTATTAAAATATTTTTCATAAAATTTGGCTTTTCTTTGATCTAAAGTTGGTGGATTAGTTTCAACAAAAATATTTATATCAATCACTTTCCAATCGATAGAACATTTATTTCCTAAAAATATAAAAATAAAGTATATTATGAGGTGTGTTAAAAATAAAGATTTTAATTTACCTGAAGCAATTATAGGTACAATTAAATATGAGTTTTTCCCATTTTTATAACTTCTTACTACAAAGTCTTTAACACCTAATACATCCACAAACAATTTATTATGAAATTGTTCTAACTTTCCTTTCTGTTCCTGATCAAGAATTATAGTTTTTGTATTTACTTTAATAGAAACATTAAAATGTCCAAAATTTAAAAAAATTGGGAACTGGGATACCTGTAAAAAAAATTTGAAAGCATTGATTCTACTGAATTGTAGGTTTTTTTTTTATACAAAGGAATTTTTGTTAAATATATGGTTTAAAAATTATAAATTGTCAAATGGGGAAAATTAAAAAAGAAAAAACTAAAATAGTTCAGCAATATTATAACATATAATAAGATACGAGTTAAAATTACATAATAAATTAGCTATAAATAAAATACATACTGGTGGTAATTTATTAGAAGTTAAAATTGCAAATTTTTCATTTGATCTAATCAACATATCAAATTTTTCATACTTTTTATCATCTAATTTTTCATAAGTTGGAACAGTCTCAATCATATGCAAATATAATGTTTCATTTGAAATTGGATATACACCATCCAAATAAGAAGGACTCTAAAAAAACTTACAGTAAATACAATAAAATATTAACTTAGATTTACTTGCATACATGTATATTTACAATCCTTCTCATTTTATTAGTTCCAGGCTTACAGTCTTTTGCTTCATTGTCATTTTCAACCCAATGTGGAAACCAATTAACATCATTATAAACAAGTTTATTTTTAACTGATGTTGGTAAGAGGTTTTCATCTAATGCCCCAGCATGATATAGCTGAATACAAGCATTAAATGCTGAACTCTTCTTTGCATTCTTTTTTGAATAACAAAATTTTCCCTTTAATAATAAATTAATTAATTTACACAAAAGTTAAGATTAATAATAAATATATAAATATAAAAATAGAATATATTTTTTAGTAGTAAAAGATTACAGATATTTGATTAATTTAAAAATATTATACTTATATTATTACATCAATTGATGTTTTTATAGCACTATTTATTGGAAGTTTGAGCTTGTACTTTTTAAGATTATTCTGTGTTTCAGCAAGCCACCATTCTGGACTCAAAACAGAAAAGAGATCTTGTGGTAATGAGTTACAATACCTATTTATAAAAAGATTTATCTTTTTAACACGCTTATATTAGTTTCACCTGTATGTATGTATGTATGTATATATGTATGTTTGTAACTCTCCAAACGCCACGCGTTATCGCATATTCCGTCGTCTAGACTAGACTGTCATAACGCATTCACCCCACCCCACGCCTCGCTCACCACACGACGGCACACTATTCCTATAAAAATTTATTTTTAGTTATCTTACCCGTACGCGCGTGCTCGTCATTAATATTATATATATATAAACAAATTTTTATTATGACTGACCATTACCGCCCACGTCTAATGCGCCTTACGTATATATATTTATATATTCCTACCACCGTTTATACCTCAGGTATAACGTTAGTCCGACCCGCCCGCCCACAAAATACGGTTATACCTAGTGCATGATACNCTGATACGTTTACATACTTAAGTCGCTTTACTTGTATATATATATATATATTCTAATTACTATTAAAATTTATATATCAACACGTTTTATTCTAATTAAGAGATAGAAAGTATTCATTCCGATTATGAGGATGATTTCCGTATCGTTATTTTTCGTCACTACCTCCACATTCCGGGAGTGAGTAATTTACGCGCCTGCTGCTTTCCTTGGATGTGGTAGCCGTTTCTCAGACTCCCTCCCCGGAATCGAACCCTGATTTCCCGTTACCCGTAACAACCATGATATTGATAGTAACTACTATCATAACATGAAACTAAAAAGTNTATATTTATTTATTCGTATATTATAATTAAACAATTATAATTAATAAATTATATTAAACAAATAATAAATGTGATTATGTAATTCATATATAATATAATATATACACACCTGTTAATAATACCTATAGCCATTTCATGCGTTAATGTTGCTAATTCTGTTTGAAAATTTTCTCCAGATTGCTCATCATCATTACTACTATCATCAATACATTCAGATACCAAAATCTTAAAAATTTTTAAATATAAATAAGTTATTTTTTTAATACAAATCTTTTAATCAACAAATTTTCAAAAATCAATAAACTATTGATTTTTATCAATAAAAATCCAGCACAGTAGAGAAAAGTATAAATTATATTGAATAATTTATTATTGTAATTTATAAAAATTATAAATTAACAATTTGATTCCCTTTTAGTGAACAGGTTGCAGGTCAAATACTCAATAAAAATATTCTTAAAAAAAAAAGAAATACCTAAGGTATTTATAAAAAAAACTTACTTGAACCATTTTTTTTTTTTTTTAATTGAGTTTTAAGAAAAAAAGTTTAAAAAATGTTGAAATTCGCCAATTTAAAAAATCTTAATTTTTTGGGGGGATTTCCGCCATTTATGGGAAACAATGGTAAATAAAAATAATCAAAACATTGATGATCAATAAAAAATACTAGTTAATTGAGACAATTTTTGTGTAAATTATAAATAAACTAAAACTTGAGTATAATATTTTATACGCATATTTTTGTGTTAATACATTAAATAAATAAGAAATACAAAAATACAACAAAATGTATATTTTCATTTAGATGTATCATTGGACTAAAAAAAAGTTTTGCAGCCATGTTAAAAACATTAGCCTCAAACTGAATAAGTTTATATTTAAGATTTCCAGAAATAATTAAATAAATTGTAACTTACTTTTTCAATTTCTTTTTCCATACTAGTGTAAACATTTTGTGTTTGCTGACATTCTACATAATTCTGGGTCATTACAATAAATTTACTATTTTTTGATCGTGCTCTACCTTTAGATTGAATGTAAGATGGAAAATTTTTTGGCAGGTCATATCTTATAACATAATTGCATTCAGGTATATCAATACCCTCTTCTAATACTTCAGAGGTTATCAAAACATTAATATCATTTTTATGGAAGCTAAAAAATATCTTTCATGAAAGATCAATCACCTTAAGAATAAGGTAAGTTCAGTTTTAGTCAAATAATCATTCCCAATATTTTATTTCTCACCCTACTGAAGACTATTAGTATTAAATATTGTGAGTCATATAGATGTTAAATTGTTTTAATATTATAACGACAAAAAAACAGGTATGAGTGATACTTTTTCCATTTGAAAATAAAAAAACATTGAATAATGAAATAAGCACTCATCAGTTTGACACGGTACCGTGTTTCCCTCAGCCGCACATCACGTTATCAACCTAAATGAAAGTGTATCGGGATCTGAATCATAAGTGCACGGTGGCCTAGTGATAAGGTTTGTCTTTACGACGCCTTGGGTCGCGGGTTCTAATCCCGTACCGTGCCTCTTTTTTTCACATGATTTCCGGTACACTTTCTATAACCGGCCGTCAATCCTCGGCGGCCGTGTTAAATTATACCACTCAAACNTCGGCGGCCGTGTTAAGTTATACCACTCAAACAAATAGCAAAAAGGTTGAGTAAAATTGACATTAAATAAAACAATAAGTATTTTAATTTGCTGAGTAATGTAATATTAAGTTATAAAAAAAAAACATTTAAAAAACACTAAATTTTCTTACAGAGATAAATAAATAAATTTTTTTTTAATATTATTATCATTAATTATTATAAATTTATAAGTTTTAACGCCAAAAAATGTCCACTAATTTAACCTTTTTTTTTTTTTTTACTCCGACCGGCGCAACTGTGGACTGCCCTGGAACTACCGTGAGGTATTACTTCAGGGCGGCCCACGCCGTCTCTAAAACTCACACCACCACATTGTGAATCAGCCGAAATTAATCAAGAGCTGATTCACAACGTGGTGTGGCCTCCTCCGTTAAAAGCGAAGGGGCAACCACTAATTTAACCCAAAAAATTGTAAAATTTACAAAATTAATAGTAACTAATTAGATAACCATATGACCGTTCATTCAAGTAGAGAAATATGAATGTTCTATTAGTAAATATCATAGAAAATTATTTTGATTTACCTTTTAACAATGTTTTGATTTTGTTTTTTAAGATACATAGCTTCATTAGATAAAGGACTAAATGCCAAACCTCTAGCACCAACAATAAAATCACATTCTACATTTTTGAAATTGAAGTTTCTTAGTTTTAATTCCTAAAATAAAATATAGTTAAGATGAAAAATTGTATTTAAAAAATAAATGTTTAAAATATAAATAATATAAATTACATTTAATAAGAACTATTATATATAATCCCAGCATGGATGTCTAGTTAGCATCAATAACTTTTATATTTTTTCAAATATTAATTTTTTTTAAATTTCATAATTCATAAAAAGGATTGAGCATATTAACACTTTTATTCTTTAAGATTTTTTGTGATATTTTAGGAAAATTTTTTTTTTAAAACAGAATAAACTAAAAGTTTACATAATGAACTTAGAATTGAAAAAATGTATTCTAACATTTGATCTAATATACAATTATTTAACTATATATCTTATTGACAAGATTTTTTTTATGCAGGATGTAGTTTTTTGTAATAATTCCTTATACAATTTTTTAACTCATTTAATTTATTCATTAGTGCAATTTCATTTAATAAAAATTTTAATTTGTTAAAACATTTGGTTTTAAAACAAATTTTAACTTAATAATCTCTTTAATTTAACTTTTTAAGTTAAGGAATTGATTACCTTAATAAAATGGTATAAAAGTTTGGCCGTACTTCTACGATCAACAAAAATTAGGCAAGAATCATCACGCTTAACATTCTTTAAGAATGAAATAAGTTTCAATAGTTTTGGAGAAGAATTTTCAATTAAGGCTAATGAGCCTTCAGTAGATTTGGAATGTTTTTTTATGTAGTCAGAAAATAGTTTTCTAATTATTACTAATTCTGATAAAACTAATGAAAAAATAATAAATTTATCTCCGTCTTCAGATAATTTTTTCTTTTTTTCAATTTCAATAATATAATGCCAGGTAGCTAAAAATCCAATGTATGTACCACTATCCAAATAATTAACCTAAAACAATCAGTTATTTCACCACAATTAAATCAACATAAATTAATGAGATAATATTATTTTCTAAATAATAAAGCACAAAAATTAGGGTATGTAAGAATAACTAATAAAAGATGAAATTTAATTAAATATTACATCAATATCCAAAAAGAAATTTGCTAAATTTTTTGTAGCTTGCTTTAAATTTTCCATATGAAATATTTCTTTGTCTTCAACAATTGGTTCATTATTGGGTGTAGTCAAAATTCTTTTTAATTTTTCAGCAAATGAGTTCAATCTTTCAGAAATAAACATTTGTTCAGTATTAAGAGTAAATTTATCATACAAGCAAACTTGTGAATCAGGCTTTGTTGAAAACCTAAAACATTAGGTCATTAGGAATGGAGGTAGAGTTGAGAATGAAAATTAAATACAATTTAATGTTCTCATTATATCTAGTTTGAATTGTTGCATTAAAAGTTAGCTGTAAAGTAGCCAATTCATTTTTAATATTTTTACAGTTGCTATTTATTAAAGTTGCAGTTAGTCCAAGAATACGAGGTCGATTTTCTTTTTTGCTGTCATCATGGTAAACTTGCATTATCTAAAAATTCGAAATAAAATGAATTTTCAATTAATTGACTGTAAATAAGGATGTATATAAATTCTAAAAGTTAATTATGGTTAACTATTTATAATTTTTTTTCTAGGAATTTTTTTATAAATAAAAAATAGGAGTAAATTCAAAATCTCAGATAAAGCCTTGTAAGGATATTTATTAAAAAAATTTTATTGAGAAACATTAAATATATTTTTTTAATAGTAAGTAGATTTAGGAGTAATACATAAAATCCTATTTAATACATTAAAAAACTATCATACTTTAAAAAAAATACCTCTAAAACATAAAAGTACAATAAAAAAATGGCTTCAAATATAAAATTTAGCTAAAAATAATTTTTTGGTAATGAAAGAATTTTGTAGTATCTTACACATTTTAATATTAATTCTTACAACACCTAAACACAATTAAATGTTTATGTGGAAACATATTAAATATTTTTATGAAAATAAAAAAATATTTTTTTAAAGGCATTAAGGTTTTAGAAGATTTTACACCTGCTTAAAGTGAGAATTGTTATCATCTAACTTTTAAGAAACGGTTAGAAAAATACTTTTTCTTAAGTTAGAAATTCTATACAAAAATAACCAAATAAAACTGAAAATCAACACAACTTAATGTTATAATAATATTAATAATAACATGCCTGTCTAAAAGGATGATTTGCTTTGGCATGATGACATTCATCAAAAATGAGAAGATTGGCATCATTTATTTTCATATAACCATGATGTAAATTATTCAAATATATTTGTGCAGTCATAACCATTATCTAATAACATATACATAATTAAATGGTTAATTATATAATAAACTATATTAACATATTGTAAAGAAATCAGCAGGAACAGTTTTATAGGAGTTGTGAAGGGGAGTGTCACACCTTTTAAACATTTATTAAAGTCATTTGTGATTGATATATTTAGAATATATTGTGGACTTTTTTATATATTGAGGTTATTTAGTAAATTTATTACTAACAGTTGGCAAAATTCACTTCACACACTCCTAAAAGTTATCTCTAGGATCTTCCTTGGTAATCAGTAGTACTAAAATCAAAAAAACTAGGTAGAGCCAAAAATTAAAAAAAAATTGGTTTTGCTATTTCTAAATAACTTTATTTTAAGACCTATTTAAGCTCTAATTTATTAATATACGTCAATATTTTAATTACTTGTAATTAAAAATAACTTGAAGAATATCAACTATGTAACGATTTCTTTTAAAGATTTGGCAGCTACACTCTAAGATTATATAAATTGGCGCTATAACAGGTAAAAACAGTCTAAAACTAGGTCAGATTTGCATTGGGTCTCGGTGTATTGCAGTTCAATTCTTTAAAATTAATCAAAATTTTTCTGTTCTCTCTCATGTAATATTATGTTATTTAATTGAGAATATGTTAAATATTAATCAAATATAAAATGATAAATATACAATTTAATAAAAAACTGAACGAAAAATATAATTATATTGTATGCTTAGACATACATTAAATACACAGCTGAATTTTTTATACTATTTTAATTGTTTGTTTGCAATCAAAATTAACCATCAAAAAAATATAATATTTTATCCTCTTCATTAAATACTTACATGGCAATCATCAATTATTTTATCCCATTGGTCTTGAGACCAAAAATCAAGATTCATATCACCACTAAATGTTCCAATATTCCACGGTAAATGTTTTCTTAAGAATGAGGCTTGCTGTAAAACTAATGGAACAGTATTTACTAGAAAAAATGTTCTTTTTCTTCCATTATTTACTGGTCTAGAAATAGATAAAGGTAGGGTTTTTTTTTTTTTTTTTACAGAAAAAGCAATATTTACTTATTTAATGAATGTCCCATAGATTTTATAAGCATTGTGGCTATGTAAGTTTTGCCACTTCCTGTAGGTAAGTATAAAACTGTATTGTTTTTTTCAACTTCTTTTAATAACTCAAGTTGATAATCCCGTGGAATAAATTCATCTTCAATTTTTATCTTTTATTTAAAAAATTATAAAAAGTTAAATCTAAGCATTGGTAGAAATAAATGTTTTCAACATGTTTAAAAATTCTAAATTATTAATCTCAAAGAATTCTATACACCAGAGCAATTCTTAAAGAAGTACTGGCAAGATGTCGGTCCCGGGTCTTACACTATTTTTGTCAAATAAATCCATCATGTTTGTGAAAAAAATTATGTTAATTGTATTACAATTACATTGGCCCCATAAATTCTAAGGATAGCCTTGCATTTAATCCATTCAATAATGGTTACAATATAAGATCTGATATTTTTTAAAGAAATATGTATTATTTATAATAATTAATATAAATAATAGTAATTCAATGAAATTTACAATTTATTTTTTATACATTTTTATGGAAACTTTTGCTTGCAAAAGAATTCATGCTATCAAAACATTAATATATTTTAAAAAATTACTTTGATAATCAGTATATTGTAATAGGTCAAACAAGTATTGTTTGACCCATATTAAGTAATAATTAAGTTCATTTAATTTAAAATGAAGAATATTTTTTTCAAATTAATATATTTTATATTTTAGTACTATATATTTAGGTGGATCCTTAATTAATAAACATATACTTATTAATAAATTGTTGTTATAGATAATATGTAATAAAAATATTTCTTTTACCTTCTTAGGAGGTTTCTCCATTTTATTTATTACTAATTCTCCTGTATATTATCTGTCTTAATTATTATAAATCTTTAAAATTAACATCTAAGCATGAAAATTTAGAACTAGAAAAATAAATTACTCATTATAATAAAGTTTGCATCAAAAACCAGTTTAAATGAATTGACTAACATTACAAGTTATTATAAAATTTGGCAAAGCATCATTGAACTTAACAATTATTAATGGCTATTACAAATAGTATTATACATAAAATGATATAACTTTCAAATAACTTCATAGATTTGCTAATTTAAATTTATAAAGAATTATTAACAAGGTTGAACTATATAATTTTAGTTATTTTTAATCAATTAAATTCAGAATAATGTAATAAGTGAAAAATATAAACAACAATTTTAATTACAATAGAAATCAAGAGAAATAAGTATATGTCTGGAAATTCAGAGAGCTACTGATGTTTTGAATAATACTATATAATCCATAGAATTAATCAAATTATCATTAAAAATAACCCTTAGCCACTATATAAATGAACGATATAATATCACAGACTAGATGAAAGTATTTTATCTGTATTCCGTTAACTATAATTTTTTAATAACAAAATAATTGATAATAGATAAAATACACATTGCTTTTAAATAACTGGTTTTTATCTTAATTTGTGCTAGCCATGTTAGCCGTACATAATCGTGGCTATACCAAAATATCTACAAGCTGGGCAATTTTTAAATATGTAATATTACAGCTCTATTTCTCCAGGTACAAATTAACAAAAATTCGGTCGCCAATAGTCTGATTGCCGTGGCCTATCTATGTGTATTCATCTAGAACTATATGATAGATTACATTTTAATCTATGATATAATCGAACCTTATCTTAGCCAAAAAACAAATTGACCGAACGGTATTTTAGTCGAAGAGTATTTTATCCGAAAATTTTTAGCTGTAACATCGATGTGCAATAATAGGTAGGAGCTCGAAAAATGTCTAGTGATAAAAATAATAATAATAATACAACTTATAACAAAAAACAATTTATATTAAAACAAAAATAAATTATTTTCAAATGTTATATTAAAAAAAAATTCATGTAAGAAAAAAGTGGTCATTTGCCATACAAAAAATTACGGGTTACAGAGATTACCACGAAATGATAGTGCTCCGACATTCATATACTCCGACACTGTAAAAAAATCCTCCGAATACATTTACTCCGACAACAATTACTGCGAATACCTGGTTACAAAAATTTGGATTTGACTACGACGATGAATACTCCGAATAGGACTATTAATTGATTGCTCCAAATATCGATTAAAAAATTATGAAATTTCGGATTAGATGACTATCGTAACAATATATTATCTGATGGAAAAATATAACCCTTATCACTAATTAATAAATATTAATTAATATAATAAAATAGCTTTATAAATGATTACTGTCTATTAACGAATAATTTTTACAATAAAGGTCCTCGAAATGTATCCGACTTTTGATAAAATAGGTACATAAAAGTAAGGAAGGGGGCTTTGAACTAGAACAACCCCAGTTATATAACTGGCGTGAGCCCTTAAATTTTTTTTTTTTTGTGGGGAAAGAAGAGCGATTCCAATTTTCGGACGTAAAATTATTTGTGCCTCTCCTTATTAGTGCCTATTATTATAACATTTAATTAGTTTAGTTAAAAAATATAGGGGTACGTGTCACTGATGATAGAGTTCGTCATTAAAATAGCTATTATTATTAACACTATTATTATTATTAACTCTACACTATTATTATACGTCTATACTTTTAATAATTTTTCACTTCTATTTTAAATATTAGAAAAAAACCTGTGTACACGATAAAAGACAATTTATATTGTGCGTTTGAGAAGTGATAAAGATTTCCACATTAAAATCTAAACTAGATATAATTTAAAAAAAAAAAAAACGATACCCGGTCTCCGAAGAGACCCATCCAATGGTCTGGATGCTTCGCCGAAAAGACCTGGCCGTTGGCGGCTCTACTCCATCATTGAAAAAAAATGTCAATAAAATAATAAATGTGTGCACCCTAGCACGGCCAATGACAGAAGAAAAATTGGAGAAGAGTCAACACCGATCTAACGGCAATTTCATATCGATAACGGTCAGTCTTTTTGGAAGGGATCAATACTGATAAACAATTCGATTTTAATTATATTTCTCTTATATCGCCTTATCTAGCGGTCAGCGGCAAAATAATGAGTGGTTGACACCACTGTGACAGAAAAGGTTCTTTCGCGCGATAAAATAAATAAGTAGACATAACAAAAATCATAAACGGTCCACCTTCGAATTTGTGACGTTACAACAAAAATAATACACGGTAGCCATTTTCAATATGTAGACAAAATAAAGTTAGACGTTTTTTTTCCCACAATACTGTATATTACATAAGCTCTAATTTAAGATATTTATAAAAGTATCAGTATTTCCAAAACACTTTCAAATGTTAATTTTTTGTGAAAAAGTTGTAATTTTGAATATCCCCTGTAGGCAGATAGATGTCACATTTATAAAAAAAATGATAGGTAACCTCATGTATCTATAAAATATATATATATTGATTTGGTAATTTTTTAAAAAGTTATGGCAGTTTTAAGTAAAAAAATACTGAATTTTACAATTGTAATTTTTTTGGAGATATTACCCATTTACGGAAATTTTTTCAATTTTCAACGGCAATGTTTTCAACTAGATATTGATACGATCACATTTGCATGTGCCCATATCTCTGTCTCCCATAACATCGTTGTACCGTTTAATAGACATATATATATATATATATATAATTAACACAGTGACATACAACAATACTAACAGGAGGGCGGACTGCACACATAAACACTTTTTGTCATTCACGGCCAATGTGCCATAATAAGATATCCCTATCGACAGTTGACATTTTACCATCTTCGCGATCACTACTTTTGCCTGATAATTAACTTAACTTCGCTACCCCGTATATTATAGTGTGTGTGTGTGTCGCCGTCAGCTCCCTGTTGGATTAATCATTTCTAGGTGTCCAGCATGTTGTATTATCTATTTAATATTTCAATTGCTTAATAAATATTTATTTATATCGTTGTTAACCTAAAGTGTTATATATATATATTGTAGTGCGACCCTTGGTAGTTCCTCTAAGGGAATATAAATTAAATAGGAAACTTCAGTACCTAAGGTAGATATAGCCTAGCTAGCTATCCCCCGTTGGTCCCTTAGAATACTGTCGACGGGCATTTAGGCTAAACCCCTAAATAGCGACGTAACAATATGATTTGTAATCTGTTGACGTATCTTTCATAAAAATCCGTCTGGTGAGAGCTGAGAAAAATGGCAACAGATATAAAAAAAAAAACGGTAGCACAGTGGGGTCGAGGCATAGATGTGACAATTATAGATGATAACTGACAGTGATTAAAATCACTATCATAAGAAACGCTTCGATGCAAATCTGTAGATAGTGTTTCATTTTGAAAAATTGATGGATAATTGCAAAAGCAACATCAACTTCTATTAAAATAAAATACAAAACCCATAATTNCTTCTTTGATTATATCCTAATTAGTAGTTCTTTGGTTTTAAAATATAATATAAGAATAAATACTAATTATAATTATTAAATTTAGTATGAAATTGATATTCAATAATTTAATATTGTAATTCAATTTAATTTTGTGAAACTTTATAGTAAAAAAAATTGAATATGTTACCATAACTTTTAGCTCAATTACAAGTTGAAATTGACATCATTAAATAGAAAATTTTATGAGAATTAAAACTATGGTATTTTTAAGACTAATATGCAGTCAGGAAATTTTATAATTACAATTTTTTTGCATTTTTATCGTAATAGAACACTTAGATAGAAATCATAGTAATAATTTCTAAGTAATTTTTGGTATTTAAAAATATTCTACTATTGAAATATCCAGAACTGAATTAATTTTAATGATTTACTTTAACTAAAAAAAAAAAGTTATTATTTTGAATCCCTCTTGTGGGCAGGTAAAGGGTTAGATTTATAAAAAAAAAA